TTCCCATGATCTCCGTCTCGCCTCCCCTCACAGCCCGCAGTCTGCTCGTGGTGCTGCAGTGCTCGTGCTGCTCGTGGTGCGGCAGTGCGCGTGCTGCTCGTGGTGCGGCAGTGCGCGTGCTGCTCGTGGTGCGGCAGTGCGCGTGCTGCTCGTGGTGCGGCAGTGCGCGTGGTGCTGCAGAAAGCCATATTGAAGCCTTTCCCTCCCCTTGTCGTCACCCTCTCGTGTCGCCTATTTTCATTACCTCTCCCCTCTGGCCCATGTCTGATGAACTCTCGATCTTGCCCATTACCAGCCCCTCCCCTTTCTCCTGCCCTTCTCGCTCCCTCCCCACACAGTCTGCCGTGTGTGCTGCAATATTCATGCTGCCACGACACGTGTGTGTTGGAGCAGAAGAGACTGGCGGATCCCAGAAGGCTCTATGCACCTGGCCGCCTCTACCACATGCTCTACACACAGCGCTGCAGGTGATCCATCTATAACTAGATGAAGACACATCTATGAGGGTGAGAGAGCCTACCACATGCTCAGCCTTCTCCCCAACCCGTATGAACCCTCCACGGTCATTGCAGCCTATTCTCTATTCTCCTGACAAGCTCTTATATCTCCATACATGTATTTCCCTTCCACTCCCACCCACCTACCCTCCCACTCCCATCCACCTCTTACCCGCCCACTCCCATCCACGTCTTGTTCCCCCGCATCTTCACACATGACACCTGGCACCACTGATCACATACCACGTGACGCACAACACACGGCAGCTGTGAGGACCTGCCCCCGGTGGCGCTGACGGCCATTCCAGTGGAGGGGCGGTTTGAGCACGTGGTGCTGTCGCGCACTGCCACTCGCGACCACACGCTGCCCCTTATCGCTGCGAAACTGCACCAGTTCCTGCAGGTGATTATAGATAGTTGTGATTGTGTGAGTGTAGAGAGTTGTGCAGGTGACCATGGGGGATTTGTGCTCGTATGACTGTGGCGAGTTGTGGAGGTGACTACATGGATTTGTGCCGATGTGCTTGTAGGGAGTCATGCAGGTGATTATACGGAGTTGTGCTGGTGGTGAGATTCCAAGTCATGCAGTGGCAAAACCGGATAATCTTCAGCCTTTGTCCGGTCCCTTCCGCACGCTTGCCTCACTGTGAATAAACTGACATGTAGCAAGACCTTGTTTCGTGAAATAGCCTCGTGGCACAACGATTCTCCACTGTGTGCCCCACCCCAACCCCAACCCCAACTCTAAACCCAACCCAAAATCCAATTTCCAATCCAAAGCCAATTCCGACCCCAATTTCAACCCCAAACCCAACCCGAACCACAATTGTCACCCGTGCCAGACGGTGGACGAGCCTGATGCTGAAGCAGAAGGCAAGGGGGATGAGCAGCAGCCAGTCGTGATGACACCACCAGCAGAAGAGGTGATGGAGCGCGGAACGGGAGCAACAGCAGCAGCAGCCGGATCAGCAGGAGCATCAGAAGCAGGCGACTTGGAGGAGAAGCAGCCGTCTTTGCAAGACCAGAAACAGCACGAGTCGCAGCGCCAGTCGCAGCGTCATCAGCCTTCGCAGCTGCAGCAGCAGCGCCAGCTGCAGCATCTCAAGTCCCTCGAGCGCTGCCTCACACTGGGAATACCCAATGCCAAGGACCCTGCTGTGCTTGCAGCAGACTATGAGAGGGATGATGAGGGGGAGGAAGAGGAGGAAGTGGAGGAGGATGGGATGCAGTTGGGGCAGGCAGACTCGGACAGAACGTCCACAGGAGATGCTCAGGGTGTGCAGTCGGAGAGTGGCGAGGCTGATAAAATTGCCGCCGGTAGCAGTAGTAGTGCTGGTGGCGGTGGTGGGAAGCCGCTGCAGGCGCATGAATCGTCAGCGCAAGTGCACAAGCGGTGGCAGGATCTGATAGAAGCGTTGATGTCTGATGAGTGCCCATCCGGAGGCAGTGCGGGCCATGGGCAAAGTGGGGCTGGAGGTAAAGGGTTTGCATTTAGGAGTATGAGTTGGAGGCAGCCATCGTTTGGTGCTCGTCAATCATCTGGGGCCGAAAATAAACACGAGAAGAAAGGATGGGGAAGGGTGAGGCAGGCTGTGAGAGATGGGAACATGGGAGGAACAAGGTGAACAGTAGGTGACATGCTTTAGAAATCATGCATGTAGTCTAGCTTCTCATTTGAGTTGTGATTGTTTTAATGAAATAGCTGGCAGTAACCTTGAGGATGCGTTGATGAGCTGGAGAACTTGGGACGTAGGCATAAGCCACTTCTTCCGAGCCACAGAACATGCCTCGGAGTCCCACAAACCATGTGCCTGCCTCATTTCCAAACCAGAATTCGTATAGCCCGAACCGAAATCTCCCGCGTGCTCCAGCTGACGTAGGTCGGTCTCAACTTACAAGTGTGACAATGACGTGGCGTGGCGCCGCAAACGGAGGGGATCTTTCCGAGACTCTAGGGGAGGGGGAAAGCTGCGGCAGTAAGTGGAATCCAGCGAGGCATCCGAAAGCCCATGTGGCCAGTGGGAGATAGCCATGTCCCCTCTAACCTGGGCTGTCCCCTATGTAGGATGCCATCTCGATTCCCGCTGTCACGGCCAGCCACGCGTGATGCCAACCAAAATGTCTTCCACCCCAATGTCCGGCCCATCTGTCCCCTCACCGTCCCTCCGAACCATATCTCAGCGCTGGAAAGGTACTCAAATTCAACGAACTCAGCTTGCGGAATCTCATTTCGTGATCTTGTGATTTTAGTTTTTGCTTCTTGTTGCAACTCAAGAAGCTTTCTCTATCCTCATCTCCGACCACCTCGTCAGCTTCCGAAACTTGAAGCCATGGCCCCCGAGCCCGTCCGCGTGCTTGTCACCGGTGCCGCCGGTCAGTAAAAGTTTGTTACACATAGGAAACGTTTTTTAGGGACACCAGCATGAGTCTCAATCTCTGATCCTGGAACCACTAAGCGCGTTGTTATCATGTGCAGGTCAAATTGGATATGCCTTGGTGCCCATGATTGCTCGTGGCATTCTCCTCGGCCCTGACCAGCCGGTTATCCTTCACCTTCTTGATATCCCTCTTGCCGAGAGCTCCCTCAATGGCGTCCGCATGGAGCTCATTGACGCCGCTTTCCCCCTCATTCACGGTAAGCCCATCTACTCCTGAAACGCTGCTGTTCCCGCAAGGTCTAAATAATTTGAGAATGTAGATACATAGTCTGAAACACGTCGATCGTTCTTGAGGAGATCCCGTTTTTGTTTTACCGTCTGGTATGTTCAGGGGTCGTCGCGACGACGGATGTTGAGGAGGCATGCAAGGGTGTCCAGGTGGCCATTATGGTGGGAGGTTTCCCCCGCAAGGCCGGCATGGAGCGCAAGGACGTCATGTCCAAGAACGTCTCCATCTACCGCGATCAGGCCTCCGCTCTGGAGAAGTTCGCCGACAAGGACTGCAAGGTGTGTGCCCTCTCGAGAATCTCTCAGCACTCGCAGCGTTGGAATATCCCCGTCTTGATTTTGGATATAACGACCAGTCCCAGTATCTTCTTTAGAGATTCTTTGAGCCTTCGTGTTCGCTCCTTACCTTCCATGCTTAAGAATAAACCGCTACGAAGCATTCACTAGATTTACGTTTCGGCTCGCATCAGCGCACGTACATCTATTACGCTTCCCTCTTCCCACACGATCCCGACAGGTGGTGGTCGTTGCCAACCCCGCCAACACCAACGCGCTCATCCTCAAGGAGTTCGCGCCCAAGTTCCCCGCCAAGAACATCACCTGCCTTACCCGCCTGGACCACAACCGCGCTCTCGGCCAGATCTCGGAGCGCCTGGGCGTGCCGGTGGCGAACGTGAAGAACACCATCATCTGGGGCAACCACTCGTCTACCCAGTACCCCGATGTGAACCACGCCGTCGTCCTCACTCCTGAGGGCGAGAAGGCCGTGCGCGAGCTTGTCAAGGACGACGCTTGGTACGTCAACGGTCACATTGACTGGCTTGAACATAGACTGGCCTGAACGCCTTCTTCACACTAACATACACCATAATGAAATCTACGTAACCAGGCTGAAGAAACAGACTGAGCATTGATCTCGTCACGCTTGCTGAATGGTGTGCAGGCTCGATGGCGAGTTCATCAAGACCGTTCAGCAACGTGGTGCCGCCATCATTGCGGCCCGCAAGTTCTCCAGTGCTCTGTCCGCTGCTTCCTCTGCCTGCGACCACATCCGGAACTGGGTGAAGGGCACACCCGAGGTAATGGTCGCTTGCACAATACGAGATTGTTTGCTGTTCCGAGATTACCGTTTCAGCCTGCGTCATTCGAGGCTCTTTTCGCTTCGCTCTGATTCATGCTTTAATTGTTCCGTTCTGCAGGGCTCATGGGTGTCCATGGGAGTGATTTCTGACGGTTCGTACGGCGTTCCCAAGGACATCATCTACTCCTTCCCTGTCACCTGCAAGGATGGCGAGTGGACCATTGTGCAAGGTAACGATTTCTCTTGTACTTCGTCTCTGTGCTCTCCGTCTCCAGCCGTCAAACATTTCATCCGTGTCATCGTCGACTCTTCCCTGTTTTTTAAGCTTCTTTATGCTCTCCGTCCCCAGTCGTCACATTCACTACCGTTGTGTCTCTGTATCAATCCGTCTTGGTTAACCTGGCAGGGCTGTCAATCGATGCCAACTCAAGGGCGAAGATGGACGCCACAGCAGCAGAGCTTGTCGAGGAGAAGGAGCTTGCATACGAGTGCCTGAAGGCGTAAAGCTTAGATTTGCAGGCTTCAACTGTCTATGTTGATCTCGTATACGACATCAATAAGAAATTTTGTTTAACAGATAGAGCCAGCTGTTGCACAGGCGGACTCACACCAAAATCCCTAAACATTCAAATCATGTTGACTGCCACTAGGTCAGCTGGGGTCAGGACAGGAGATTAAATGGGATGGCTACCTTGCATGGCCATCCTTTCCTTTCTTCTGAAATGATAGGGAAAATGTTTGGGCATGATTGTGGGCAACTGCTCAATAACAAGTCAGTTGTTTGTCCTTGCTGTCGCGCTGTACATGTCAGATCAAAGGTCGCTGACCATTGACTTTCGCGTAACCTCCAGCTGCTGTTCAACCTCCGAGGGTTGACTCGCTGATGCTTCACTGTAATTTGCTTCGTTCAAGACTTAGGGTACATTCCGCTCAGGACAAGTCCCAATCGTACATGTCCCAATCGATTCCACCGCACTGCATCTTATTGCACCAAAATACACCCTAGTTTCAAACATTGTCAAAATTTTCGTGTCTCTGGTTTAGTTCGGTTCGGAGCGGTACACCCGATTGGGACATGTACGATTGGGACATGTACGATTGCGGAATGTACCCTTAGTGCTTCGACACGACAGAGGCGCTTAAATTACTTGTTTCCAACACTCCCCTTCGTTTCTGGAGTGTCGTTGCTGGTGACGTGGCCTTGTCCAGTCAGCAGCATGCAGTGCTCAAACTTCTGCTTTTTGAGTTTTTTTGGTCAAGTAATCAGCTGCCATCTCAGACGTGGGGCAGTAGGACAGCTCGAGTCTCCCCTTATCGATCTCGTCCTTCACGAAGAAATATCGCAGGGCGATGTGTTTCGTCCTGTTCGCGAATCCGTTTTTGTTGGCGATGCGAATTGCAGACTGGTTGTCGCAAAACAGGGAGAAGTTGGGTAACAGGGCCAGCTTCGCCTCCTCCATCAGTTCAATAAAGTATAATCCTTTCTTGGTGGCTGAGCAGAGTGCAATATATTCTGCTTCAGCTGAGGAGAGATCGATTAGCTCCTGCCACGAGATATGTCCGATAGGTTCGAAGCGGTAAATGTAGCCGGTGCGTGAACGCCTGTTGTTGGGGTCACCGGCATGGTCAGCGTCGACATAGCCGATTAACTTAGGTGTCGTGGTTGCGTTTTTGTGATAAGTTCGACCGATCGTCGGGGTGCTGACGAGGTAGTGGAGTGCGCGGTCGAGCTCCGCCATGTGTTCCACCTCAGGTTTCTTGAGGTAGGTGGCAAGTTGGCTCGCTGAATACGATAGGTCCGATCGACAAGTGACGGGCACGAAGAGAAGGCATCCCAGCTTTCGTTGGTAGTCACGTATGCCGGCGGGCTTGAGCAGAGCGGAGCTTCCCTTGTGATTTCCTGCGATGTAGTGGTACGGCGTGGAGATGGCGGCTGGAGTTAGTCCAAAACGCTTGGCGATAGTGTTGGTGTATTTTGCGGCGCTGAGATAGATTGCGTTCTCTTCTTCTTGAATGTTGAGGCCAATGTATTGCGTCACGGTAGATGAGACCGTGAGCGTGAGGTCCTTGATGTTCGCGTTGAACGAAGCGACCCGACGAGCACATATGCTGTCCGCAGCAACTGTCCAAGAACCAAGTGTCTTTTCCGGAAGGCTCTCTCTGGGCGATGGCTGCGTATATCGGGTTCGGTTCCAATGTCTCACGGCGAGGAGTGTTTTCGTCAAGTTGTTATTCTGGTGAGTAGTGTGGTGGAGACTCAGTGATGCAGGAGTCTGATAGTCTTGCCATGCAGCTCACAATGTTTCTTGCTCCTTGTGCAGGTTGTGTTGTTGTCGAGACTTGAGCTTGAGGAGTTGGATGCGCTTGTGTTGAGGCAACTTGATGGCTCGAAGGTCGAAGCTGTCGTTGTGGCGTTGTTGACTGTCGCAAACTCGGACACTGTGTACGGGGGTGTCCAAACGTCTTGCAGAGATGACAAAACGGTGGTACGTGCTGCTGCTGTTGTTGCTTATTCTGTCGGTTGAAGTTGTTGAAGCGCCGTTGGGTGTAAAATGCGAACTCAGGTACTAATGTCTTCCTCTTGTGTCGTTCCTCGTGCAGATCCATGTCTTGCTGTTCGGCGTGAATTTCGGCATAGAGTGCCGCTTCAGAGATCTTTCTGTGGGCTCGAATAATGGCTCGAGTGGAGCGCCAATGGGGACCAAGACCGCCAATGACGACTGTGACGAAGGCGTCTTCCGATATTGACCCTCTGCACCAAAGGAGTTTGTCGCGCAATTCGCGACAGCGACTAATACACGCCATCCCTTTTTCGTCCGGTTTCATTTCCACTGTTGTCAGTTGTGCCATTAACCGATTCTGATTGACGCAGTCTGTTGCCTGATACATGTTCTTCAGGTGGTTGTCGAAAGCTCGGCGGAGTTGCCGTATCTCCGGTAAGACCGAATGTTCTGCTGCTGATTCGGAGTGATGTTCCTCAGTAGAATTGTGTATGCCATCATTGACTGATGTATGTACTGCTGCTTGTCGTACTGTGTGCTGTGTATTGGATATGGTAGGGACCCGTCGAAGAAGCCAAGAATTTGCGCGCCTTCCATCATCAACTCGAACTCGAATGACCAGGTAAAGAAATCATTCCCGTCGAACGGTCTTGATGTCTGAAGTTTTAAGACGTGCGCAGCGACTAGACTTGAAGTGCGTCTAACGTTTTCTCTTGCTCAGGTGAAGGCTGGTGGCACGGCATGAAGCTGACGGAACCGCGCTGGGGTTCGTACAGGGCGAAGGTAGGTTGTTGTTGCTGATTTCCTCGCGTGTAGGATGAACCGTCGAGGCTCATCGGTGTCACGTTGTTGTTGTTGCTGTTGTTTGACTGCGCAGGTGCCCCTTGCTGGTGTTGTTCGTAGAAGGACATGAAGGAGAAGAACTTCTCCATCATGCTTGGGTCGAAGCCCGCGGCTTGATTTGCAGGAGTTTCAGTAGACCCAGCTGCCGCTCTTGTTGTTGTGCCCTCCTCTATCTGTAGGCCAGAGGCAAGAGGTGGAGTAGGAGTAGTACCGGGAGAGCCGTTAGAGGAGCTTCTCTCTTTCTATGTAGCCATGCCTTTTGATATTGTGGATATCTTGATAGTGGAGTCTACCCTGACAGCTCTCATACCATGTTGGGTTGAGAAAGCCCTTAGGATCTTTGCAGGACTAAACTCTGAGTAGGAACAATGTAAAAGCGAAAGCATTTAATGATAAATCTGTGAACCACCTTGCGCAGGTGTGTGAGGACAAAGTAGACTGATTAGAGTAAAGTGATACAGGCTTGTATAAGAGTACAAGGGAATATGAAAGGTTATACCTAATAACTGTTTTACTGTTGCTGTTACGGTTCGATACAGTGACGACTCGAGCAACTGCTCAATAACGAGTCAGTTGTTTGTCCTTGCTGTCGCGCTGTACTTGTCAGATCAAAGGTCGCTGACCTTTGACTTTCGCGTAACCTCCAGCAGTTGTTCAACCTCCGAGGGTTGACTCGCCGATGCTTCACTGTACTTCGCTTCGTTTACGACTTAGTGCTTCGACACGACAGAGGCGCTTAAATTACTTGTTTCCAACAAGAGGGTGCAGCCTATGTGCAGGCCTATGCATGCTGGAATGCAAACTGGTTGTATTCAACACCTGAAAATTCTGAAGCATGATAGGGTACCACTGTCAGAATGTTGTATTTGTCTAGCCTGCAGTGGGGTACTCTATAGCAAGTACAGCCCAATCTAGGGTTTCCTATATGTACTCAACTGCTTGCTAGTGCAAATCTCTTCTTCTATTCTCATTCCTGCTTCCTCATTTCTTAACAACCACTTATTGGCGTAACCTCCAACGTGGTGTCTTCCAAATTCAAGCATTAAGCGTTGATTCAGGAGTGATCTATGTCTTCTTATTTTCCCTTACTCTTGGTATTTCTCTACTGTTTAATGTGGAATGTACATTTTGGAAGACAGCCCTGAAGCACGGTATATTCTTATGTATGATCGTGTAGTTCGGACTACAGTTGTTTATAAAGCAGAAAACCAAGTCGAACATAGAAAAAAATTGGGGAAAAATATGTCACAAGTAACCAACTTGGGACTCGATAACGTGAATGGTAAAAAAAAAGCGCGTAGGGTCACTGTATCGGGTTTCCTTACGGGTTTGGTAAGCGGGATCACGGATTCAGTCACTAACAACAGGTAAGAAATCACGCGAATGGTCACACAAGTAACTTCCGAATTTTTTTTTTTTGAAACTCTAACAAAACTCCCTCTCGCGCCCAACCAATCTGCGAACTTGTAAAAAAAAGTGAAACCCAATCAGAATCGGATGCGGTTTGGGAACGGATCAACGCTAAACACCTGACGAGATTCGTGTTTAGGGTTGACCATCCCAAAATGCATCCAGATTCTTTTTTAGTTTCATTTTGTTTTGGCGGGAGTTTCATCTGTGACCATTCGCGTTTTTTTTTATACAAGTTGATTGGACTGATTACGTGAAACGCTTTATCAGTCGCGTGAAAACACCCGTTTAAGTGACCGTACCCTTTTTTACCAAAAATGTTTTTGAGTCCCATAATGGTTACGAATGGCATATTTTCCGAAAAAATCGATGTGAAACAGCCTGACCTGGGCCTTGGGTTTGGCCTTGGTCAACTGGCTTGGTTGGTACGGTATCCAGACCAGCATCCGCGGGTATCGTCATGCTGACGCAGTCGCAGGTATACTCCAGATGCTGTCCAGCGCGATTTCTGTTAGAGGGCCCTACAACAGCAAGGGCCCTCGATGACCTTTGACTTGGCAGGTCGACGCCTAGCGACTGAGTCTACTCGGCACCGACGAATGAGTTCGATGGAGGTCGCATGAAGAAGTGAGAGTCCGTGGGAGTTGTTGGTGCTTCCTTGAGAGTCGCACCACTCTTTGCTAGGTTGGTGGAGTGGTGTGCACGGAAGCGAGAAGTCGATGCTGAGTTGGGTTGAGAAATTGGCGAGGCGCGTTCGCTCACCCACACACCACTTTCGTGGGGTTGGGTTACTCGCAGCGCCCACGCAACCTCTTGTGAAACCCTCGCCTGCCTATATATGTTTGTGTTGCTTGTGTGTTTGATATATATTTTCTATGTTCCTAGTGAAGTCCAAAATGCTACTTCAATTCTCACCAAGTCCTTAGAGGCAAATGCTACCGAAACTCTACCAAGTTGCTGGCGCAACATCATTCCCATAGCAAAAACTCTCTCGTTATCGCTACGCTCTCTAATAGATTCCTTCATGGTGCGGTGAGCGTGGAACGAACACGCATAGATTTACGTCGTCGTTGATATTCGCGTTCGTATACTCGCCTTGGCGTGCGGCGTTAGTGAAGGGCGCTTATTAATCTAAGTTGAACCTCTCTTGATTTCCCTCCAGTTACGTTCTCGGACCCAAGGATAGGGCGTTTGGTAATTTATTACCACTCGTCTGAGGACCCTTGTGAGGTGACCCCGAGACGAGGGATTTAAGGAAGGGGCACTTTATTTTAATTTGTGGTACCTTATAGAGACGTCGTAGAGGATGAGTACTGAGGAGGCGAACGTGGAGGCCGGTAATTTGCGCACTCTAGAGGAGGATCTCGTGGCTCGTCATTCTCGTGGTGAGATTAGTGATATTGAATACGAGCTAATGTTGGAGGGATTGCGCTCGCGTCGGCGTCGTGAGCACCCTTCCCCACGTGTAGAGAATGTTGAGCAAGTTGCGGGAGGTACTAGTGCGTGGGATATGGCTGTCGATGGCGGAAATAGCGATGACGAGGAGTTTGATGGGTTGATGTCGCGTGGGGTCCTGCGAAGACCAGCTCGGTTTAGTACGGCTAGCGTCGGCGGTGTACAGGAGCGTGTTCATCGTGCAGCAGCGTCACGAGAGCATGTGAATGTAGGACGGCGAAGCGTTGCTGGAGGAGGAATTGCGGAAGAGTTCGATAGTGAGACTATGCCGGGCGTTACCCCGATTGGATCGATGTCGAGGGACGAGGGAATAGCCCCCAACTATGGCTACTTCAGATTCACTCCAGACAAGATCGTTGTCACTAGTCCGTTAGAAGGACGTCACGACCTGTCGACGTGGACAGAATCAATCGAGCCGCAGCTTGAGATCGCTCAGCTAAAGCGATTCATAGATGGCACCACCCCTATTCCACCAGCGCGTGCGCTTGCGCATCGCTCTCAGTTCCGCGCGATGTAGTTGCTGACATTCACCACCATTTCCCGATGCTGCTCCCCAAGCGTACAGATCGCCCTTAAGGCGTGTCGCATGAAGGTTGATGCCGGCTATCAGGCATGGCAGTTCATTATGCGCACGTACATGGCGAAGGACGATCTGTACATCGGTCAGTTAGAGCAGGCGCTCACTAACCTCGAGATGGGAGAGCACGAGTCCGCTACGTCCTATTGCAACCGTGCGCAGCAGATCCTAGTGAACCTGAGGATGGCCGGCGTAGATTACTCACAAGCGTCGTACATCACTCACGTGGTGAAGGGGTTGCCGCAGCAGTACAACCTCTTACGCAGGATGCTTAAGTTGCCGCAGGTGCGCAAGGAGTTGGACGAGAACACCCTCGCTAGCTACATCATCGAGGAGGAATGTACGCTGGCGTCAGAGGGACGAAAGGACCAATTCCTTCCCCAGGCTAACCAGGTCTTTACCAAGAAGGGTAAGCCCCAATTCCAGCAAAATTCGTTCCCTTCCCCTCCCACTACGGCACAGCAGCAACAACCTAAGAATGGGGGTGGGCTTAGTGGGGGAGGGGAGAAGTGGAAAGGGGGTAAGGATGGCCAGCCGAAGGGGGGGAAAGGGGGTTTCAAAGGGAAGTGCTATGTGTGTGGACAAATAGGGCATGTTGCTAAGTACTGTCAGCAGCGGGCGGATAAGGAGGCAGACACCGGTGGAGAGGGTTCTGGAGGAAGCAGCGGAAAGGGGGGTGATGGCTCTAAGGGGAGCGGGCAATCATCATGTGCGATGGTGAAGCCCGTTGTGGAGCAGACTCCTCTCGTTGTGCTAGAGCCTGAGGGCGGGGAGGCCTTACAGGCTGTTGCAGCTGCTGTAAAGGCGAACCCGAGCGTCGTGCTGCTTGATAGCGGATGCTCCCACCATCTCATGGGAGATTGTTCTGCCTTTGTGGAGATGAGCAGCGGCGGCAGTATTAAACAGGTTACTGGCTTCAACAGCGCGCTTCAGGAGGTGCAGGGGCGGGGCACAATCGCTCTTCTTGGAAAGGGGGGCACGCGTGTCTTGGTGCCGGACGTGCTGTACGTACCAGGAGTGCAGGAGAGTCTTCTCTCTGCTGGGCAGCTGCGTGATAGTGGTGTGCAGCTGCTAGATGCCGGGGATGTGACTTTGCTGCGAGCACCAGATGGATCGCTTCTTGGTCGTGCGGAGTTCAAGGGGCGTGTTCTCTGCACGAACTTCCAGCCGTGTTCGACGCAGCAGCAGGAAGGCGAAACGGTGGCACTTCGTACCTTGGCGACGGGCGTGCGGTCTAAGGGGGACCTGTGGCATGCGCGTATGGCACACGTTGGTATTGATGCCATCGAGCGCACAGCGGCTCACGGGTCAGTGAAGGGCTTGGATTTGGAGAAGGGGGGCAAGTCAGGCATACCTTGTGTTTCCTGTGTTGGGGGAAAGATCACTCGTCATACCTTTCCTTCTGTGGGAGAGGAGGAGGATGAGTTGCTTGGGGTGGTGCATGCTGACCTGTGTGGCCCTTTCCGTGAAGCAGCTAAGGACGGCAGCCGCTACTTCTTGGTGCTGAAGGATCGAAAGACGCGATATGTCTGGGCCTACCCTTTGGCCCAGAAGAGTGATGCGCTGGCGGCGTTCCAGAAGTGGCTCCCGATGGCAGAGCGACAGTGCAAGACCACGGTGCAGGCGCTGCGCACTGATCGGGGTGGCGAGTTCCTGGGGCACGACTTCACGCTCTTCCTCGACGGTAAAGGCATCATCCATGACCTCACATGCCCGTACACGCCGGAGCAGAACGGGATGGCCGAGAGGGAGATGCGCAGCATTGTGGAGGCGGTGCGGACGATGTTGCTGCACATGGGTGTGCAGCATCACTGGTGGCACCTGGCGTTGGCTCAGGCCGTCTGGGTGCGCAACCGCGTAGAGCACGCCTCACTACCCTCTGGTGTGACGCCGTACGAGCTCGCCTTTCGACGCAAACCTGATGTCAGTATGGTGCGTGTTTGAGGCTGCATGCTGCAGTACATGGTACCACGGTCGCAGCGTGGGGGGAAGCTGGCACCTAAGGCTCGCTGGGGGCTGCACTTGGGTGTGTCAGCTGCGAGCAAAGGCTGGACCGTGCTGGACTTGGAGTCCAACCGCCTCATCACCACTGTGGAAGCTGTGTTCTATGAGACCATGTCCCTAGCAGGATGGAAGGCTTGGCATCAGCAGGAGCATGGGGGGCGTTCGATGCCCTATGAGCCCCTTCCCTCACTCTTCCCGATCACTCTCGAGGAGGCGGAGGAGGAGGAGGAGGTGGTCGCACCTCCTGCTATGCCCTATGTCCCTACCTCGGTCCCCACCCCACCTCCGCCTTCCGTCTACCCTCGTGTGATTCCCCCTGTCCCGCCTTCTTCCTCCTCACCCCCCTTGCCTTCCCCTCCTCCTCCTGTTATTCCATCTCCCCTTACACCCTCCATCCCTCCTGCACCTGCTCCGCCCTCCTCTTCGTCTTCCACGGCGCAGCCCGTTGGTGAGGGGGGGATGGAGGTGCCACCGTCTGTGGAGATCACCGACGGGCAGCGCCTTGAGACTGAGCAGCTGCAGGACGAGAGCAGTATGGATGGAGTACAGCAGACAGGGGAGCAGCAGATTGGGGAGCAGCAGACAGGGAAGCAGCAGAGTGGGGAGCAGCAAATAGGGGAGGAGCGGATTGAGGAGCAGCAGATGGTGGACCAGCAGCTCGGGGAGCAGCAGACAGGGGAGCCGCAGACAGGGGAGCAAGAGATGTGGGGAATTAGAGATGGTGGTCGTGTGTTGGTTTCTGGGACGACCACTGCACCAGTGCGTCGCTCCACTCGCATCACTCGTGGTGTCCCACCTGTTCGATACGCTTGGGCTGTAGTGGTTGAGCCAGCGGGCTTGGATGACGAGGAGGAGGACGAGGAGTGGACTGACCTGGACCCGGACGTTGCAGCTGATCCTGAGAGGCAGTGGGACATAGCGAAAATGACAGTGAAGGAGGCCTTGGGCTGCTGGAAGGGCGACAAGGTGAAGGAGGCGATGGATGAAGAGATGCGGAGCTTGATTGAGCAGGGGACGTAAGAGTTGGTTCCGCGTCCGCCAGGGGTGAATGTGATGAAGAACCGCTGGATTTTGAACACCAAGTTCCGACCTGATGGGATAGTGGAGCGTGAGAAGGCGAGGCTGGTGGTGAAGGGGTTCACACAGGTGGCAGGGGTGGACTATGAGGAGACGTACGCCCCTGTGGGAAGCTATGTGACGGCGCGTGTGCTTCTGGCGATTGCAGCTGCACTTGATTTGGACCTGATGCAGCTTGATGTAAAGAATGCGTTCCTCCATGGCGTGCTGGACCGAGACCTTTACATGGAGCAGCTGAGCTATTACGAGGATGGGACTCCTCGTGTCTGTAAGTTGGTGAAAAGTCTGTATGGGCTCAAGCAGAGCCCGATGCTATGGTATGAGGCCTTGGATGGGGTGCTGCTTGGGGCTGGATGGAAGAAGAGCAAGGTGGATGAGGCTCTGTACTTCAAAACTGATGCTGAGGGGGAGATGTGCTGGCTGCTGGTGTATGTGGATGACCTGCTTGCTGCCAGCCGCAGTCAGAGCATGCTTGGGGAGCTGCGTGAGCTGCTGCAGAGTGCGTTTCAGCTGCGGGAGATTAGCCCTGTGGAGAAGTATCTGGGGTTGCAACTGATTCGGGACAGGCCTACGAGGAGGCTATGGCTGCACCAGAGGGCCTATGTGGACAAGGTTCATAGGCGCTTCTTTGACGGGGAGCAGCCGCTGCGAGTGCCTCGCACCCCTCTTTCCTCTGACCCTTTCAGTGTGCAGACCTTCGAGGATGTGGGATGGCAGTCTCGCCAGGAGGAGGAGTACAGGCAGAAGGTGGGATCCTTGCAGTTCGCGGCCTGTACCACCCGTCCCGACATCTCGTTCGCCTGCAGCAAGCTGGGGTCGGGCCAGACTGTGCGGAGTGATCAGCACTGGAAGGAGTTGGACCGGTGCTTGACGTACTTGGTGGGGAGCAGGGATGTGGCGCTGGAGTTTGGAGGTGGGCCGGAGTCCTTGGAGCTGGTGGGCTACGCCGATGCTGATGATGCAGGGGACAAGCAGAACAGGACCAGCACAGGTGGCTATGTCTTCGTGCTTGGGGGTGCTGCTGTCTCATGGGCGAGCCAGAGGATTCGTTGCGCCACCCTCTCCTCCACTGAGTCTGAGTATGTTGCTGCTGTGGAGGCCGGGAAGGAGGCGCGCAGGCTGTGCTTCCTGCTGGCAGAGTTTCAACTGCTGAGGAGTGAGGAGCCCACTACTCTCTTTGTGGACAACTCCTCCGCCATTTCAGTGGCAGGTGGCATGGGGCTCAAGGGGAGCCTCAAGCACATGGAGCGTCGCCACATGTGGCTGCAGCACATGGTCAAGCGCAGGAAGCTGCAGTTGCAGTACATCCCTACGAGCGAGCAGCCTGCTGACTACCTCACGAAGGCATTGCATTTCCCCGCCTTCAGTCGTTGCTTCGAGGCTGTGGGGCAGGTGAGGCTTTCGAGTGAGGGGGGTGAGACCTAAACACTCCATGATGTGGATGGTGCCATGGCCTATCCATGGCTGGTGCGGTGCGTGTTTGCACTTTGAGAGTGCTTCGTTTGTGTGTGTTTCCCTTTGTTTTGGCGTGTACGTGTGTATGCATGCCCTGTGGTTATAAAGGGCCTTGCTGTAGTATGGCAGGGGAGTGTTAGAGGGCCCTACAACAGCAAGGGCCCTCGATGACCTTTGACTTGGCAGGTCGACGCCTAGCGACTGAGTCTACTCGGCACCGACGAATGAGTTCGATGGAGGTCGCATGAAGAAGTGAGAGTCCGTGGGAGTTGTTGGTGCTTCCTTGAGAGTCGCACCACTCTTTGCTAGGTTGGTGGAGTGGTGTGCATGGAAGCGAGAAGTCGATGCTGAGTTGGGTTGAGAAATTGGCGAGGCGCGTTCGCTCACCCACACACCACTTTCGTGGGGTTGGGTTACTCGCAGCGCCCACGCAACCTCTTGTGAAACCCTCGCCTGCCTATATATGTTTGTGTTGCTTGTGTGTTTGATATATATTTTCTATGTTCCTAGTGAAGTCCAAAATGCTACTTCAATTCTCACCAAGTCCTTAGAGGCAAATGCTACCGAAACTCTACCAAGTTGCTGGCGCAACATCATTCCCATAGCAGAAACTCTCTCGTTATCGCTACGCTCTCTAATAGATTCCTTCAATTTCAAGCAGAGACTATGAGTTTAGGATGGACGAGCTTAGTCGTTGATACCGAGGGAGAGCGAGGGAAAGTAGCAACGTCTGAAGCTTTTCATGATGGTTCACGGAGGGTGACACTTCAGAGGGTTATCCGTGTTTCGCTTTCCAGTCGCTGCTGCGGAGATGCTGTCACGAGGCAGCCCAACGCTCGCGTAGACTCGTAGCTTCTGACGATAACAGCAGCTCATTCCGCCTGATTTTTGTGTCGCTTCCTCGTTGTCGTTCTTAAACGCAGACATATGTAGCGAGCCGTAGTAACTAGCGGGTGAGAAGATCCATACTTTGTTTCCTAACGGTTTTTTTAAAACCGTTCAGAAGAAGATTCATACGTATCCTCGTTACGTATCCACGCCAATCATGGAGTGCCAGCTGTCAGGCGAGCAGATCCGTGGATTGTGCCGAGCAGTTCAGTGCCTGGCCAAGGTGGCTCACAGCGATTACATCACCTTCCTTGCAGCTCCTGTGGAGGTACGACGTGAACGACTCCTGTGGATCCTGTGGAGGTACGACGTGAACGACTCCTGTGGAGGTACGACGTGAACGACTCCTGTGGATCCTGTGGAGGTACGACGTGAACGACTCCTGTGGAGGTACGACGTGAACGACTCCTGTGGATCCTGTGGAGGTACGACGTGAACGACTCCTGTGGATCCTGTGGAGGTACGACGTGAACGACTCCTGTGGAGGTACGACGTGAACGACTCCTGTGGATCCTGTGGAGGTACGACGTGAACGACGGTGGTTATTGAGTGGGAATGTGGAAGCCACTCATGGAAGCCACTCCTTTGTGTGAAGCTGCCGAACCTAGTCATGTATGGAAGTGGAAGCGAGGTACAGATGCAAGCTGAAATTAGCGCAAAAACTGCCGTGATCTGTCCAATATTGTGAGAAGCTTTACAGTCAGTGTTCGCCATTATCAGCCTGTTATTTTTTTTTTTGTATCATAACCTAAGCCTTGTCCATCGTCGCAATTGTCTATGCGTGAAATCAAGACGGCTTACTTGAGATTGATTCAAAATACACCTACAAAGGTGATCAGCCTCACTCCATTCAGCTCTTCCGGCCTGCCCTAATCCATTTCTCACAGTTGTCACTGCGAGGCATCAACACGGCCAAGACGGCCTACCTGGTGGTCAACTTCGCCACGGACTACTTTCAAACCTTCCACCTCTCCCATCCCACCTGCTCCTGCTCCGCGCTCGTCAAGGTGAGTCAAGCTTGTCAAGGCAGGCCAAGTTGGATAAAGCAACTCAAGTTGCTCTGCACCAAGCTGTCATTGGATGCAATGCAACCGAATGACTTTTTAAGTATTGTGTTGTATATTTTGTCCTGATTGCCTGTCTCTGTGTATTTATAACTCCTTTTTTACATCAAAGCTTCTGTGTGTGTTGGTGGGTGTGTTTTGGGGGAGAGAGAGGAGGGTATTCGTATTCATATGTGTGCATATGGTTGCATGTGTTGTGCATATGGTTGCATGTGCATGCGAACATATGGTTGCATGTGTGTGCAAGCATATGATTGCAAGTGGTGTGCATATGATTGCATGTGTGTGCGAGCATGTGATTGCATGTGGTGTGCGAACACATCTGCATGTGTTGTGCATGTGAATGCACGCGGGGTGGGGGGGGGAAGCAGTCAGTACTGGCGGTGTTCCGCACGGCGCCTGCAGCTATGCGGACCCTCACCATCACAGCGGACGGCAAGGAGCCCGACAACATTCGCTGGATCATCGACTGCCAAAACGGTATGCTGGGTGTTTACAGCGGGTAGCCCCACATCGTCAGACTGGATTGCCAAACGGGTATGCGGGGTGGCTGGAGAACCTCCGGCTTGATTGCCAGAACAGCATGCTGATCTGGGCGGCCAAAATGGTTTGCCCTTGAAAAGCAAACTCCAGTGGTGAAATGGCGCATTGCATATGTCAAGTGACGGGGATCTGCTCTCTGTCCCCGTGCCACTTGAAATGAACTCCTTCTTGCCACTTCTCCCTTTCCCCTCCCTCCTTTCACCACCCTCTGAGAAGGCATGCGCAAGACATACACCATGGCATGTGTGAATGAGAGAGAGGGAGGTGCTGTCAGCGTCCATCCAACTTCCAGTCAACTCAAGTGCACTTTTTCAAGTCCACTCCTTCCTTTTCCTTCCTGCCCTTCCCCTCCTCTCTCCCCATCCCGCCAGGCATGCGCAAGACATACACCATCGCATGTGTGAACGATAGGGAGGTGCTATCAGCGTCCATCGACCCGTCCACGTACCCCTCCTCGCTCGTCGCCCGCCCCAAGGCCCTTCTGCAGCTGCTCAACCACTTTCAATCCACGCTCTCTGAAATAACCATCATTGCTGCCGACCCTGAGGACGTGACAGGCTCGGGAACAGGCACGGGCGGAGGTGCGGCGGGGAGAGGAGGGGGGAGTGAGGCGAAGGCGGTTGAGATGAGGAGCTACGTGGAGCCGACTCTTGCTGGTGGGTGTGTTGAAACATAGGCGCATGCATGAGTGGGTATGTGTGGATGCATGGCATGTCAAGCTCACTCTTGCTGATGGGTGTGACACATCGATGTGTGCATGTGGGGTGTCAAAGCATTGGAGCAGTGAGAAGCAGTTGCACCTCCTCCACTCCGTGCCTTCCCTGCCACTGCATCTTCCTCGTGCTAACAGACGGACGCCCACCAGCCAAGGTGACTTCAGTGACTGGCTCAAAGCGTTTCTGCCTCCTGCTCCTCTGCGCGCTGCCTTGCCCCCCGTACAGGCTCTTCACATTCAGTGTACGGGTGCCTTACTCCCCGTGACACACCGACTGCCTTGCTATTCAGTCAGCGGACGGGAGGCTGGAGGCGTTCCCAGAAGCAGCGAAGCACCCGCAGCTGTGGGTGGGTGATACGGCCCCTTAATGTATCAGCCTGAAGCGATCTGTGCTTTTCCTCGTGCTCCTCCCTCGTCGTGCCTTGTGTCCCTGTGCAGGCTCGTCAGCAGACGGACGGCTGGAGGCGTCCCCGGAAGCAGCGATGCACACGCAGCTGTGGGTGGACCCTGGGGAGCACTTTGAGGCGTACTGCCACAGGGGGGACGCTGTGGACGTCACTTTCAGCGTGAAGGAGGTGAAGGTGAGACGGCCGTGTTGATTCGGAGTGTGGGGGATAGGGGTGAGGTGGATGGGAGTGTGGTGTGTGGTGTGTGGTGTGTGGTGTGTAGTGTGTGGTGTGTGGTGTGTAGTGTGTGTGGTGTGTGGTGTGTGTGTGGTGTGTGGTGTGTAGTGTGTGGTGTGTGGTGTGTAGTGTGTGGTGTGTGGTGTGTGGTGTGTGGTGTGTGGTGTGTAGTGTGTGGTGTGTGGTGTGTAGTGTGTGGTGTGTGGTGTGTGGTGTGTGGTGTGTGGTGTGTAGTGTGTGGTGTGTGGTGTGTAGTGTGTGGTGTGTGGTGTGTGGTGTGTGGTGTGTGGTGTGTAGTGTGTTGGTGGTTGGATTCAAGGGAGCACTTTGAGGCGTTCTGCCATGCCGGGGATGCAGTGGACGTTACTGTCGGTGTGAACGAGGTGAAGGTGAGGGGAGCGCGGGGGATGGGAGGGTGGCGGAAAAGAGAGGTGGATACGGGTGTTGTGTGGTGTGGTGCGTTTGGTGGGTCGACCCTGGGGAACAGTTTTAGGCGTTTTGCCACGGGGGGATCCGGTGGACGTTACTTTCAGCGCGAAGGAGGTGAAGGTGAGAGGAGCATGGGGGTGTGGGGAATGGGGTGTGGGGAATGGGAGGATGGTGTGGTGTGTTGGGCGGGTGGAAGTGGAGTGGAGCGCTTTGATGTGTACAGCCACCCACATGGGCAATCGCCTTCCCTCCTGCTTCACACCCACACTCCCCCCACCCCACCCTCCCCTCCCCCCACACTCCCCCCACCCCACCCTCCCCTCCCCCCACACTCCTCTTCGTTTTTCGATGGCCCCTTCCCACGCCACCAGGCGTTTGTGCAGTTCTGTGAGTCAGCAGCAGCAGACGTGGTGATGCTCTTCCATCGAGCCGGAGCGTGAGTGCTGCTCTAGAGTCATCAGGCCCAGGCCTTTCCACGTCCTCTTTCCTCGCCACCAGGCGTTTGTGCAGTTCTGTGAGTCAGCAGCAGCAGACGTGGTGATGCTCTTCCATCGAGCCGGAGCGTGATTGCTGCTCTAGAGTCATCAGGCCCAGGCCTTTCCACATCCTCTTTCCTCGCCACCAGGCGTTTGTGCAGTCCTGTGAGTCAGCAGCAGCAGACGTGGTGATGCTCTTCCATCGAGCCAGAGCATGAGTGCTGCTCTAGAGTCATCAGGCCCAGACCCGTGGCGTGGATATCGTTGAACACGTTTCCTTGAGAGTTGTTGATTTACTGTAGGTATTGTGAGATATTCCCCCCTGCTCGCCCTTCCAAACCCCACTGTCCCAATTCACTTGTGTAACCCTTATTCAGTTCACCTCTATCCTCCCCCACTCGCCCCTCCCTCCCCGCTGCCATCACTGGATTACTGTGTGTCCTGCAGCCCTCTCATGCTCATGCCAAGATTTCCCAACCCGCACACCACCCCCACTCGCAACCCCCGCCATGCACATGCACCACTCGCGTCTGACTTTGACTCACGCCTTGTGATCGCCACAATGCTCGAATCCCAGCTCCCCACTCCCCCCCCTTCCGACCCTTCCGTTCACCGAGCCTCCGCCCAACCTGGCACACCTGCCACTCCTGCTCACCAAGCCGCAGCTACTTTCCAAGCATCTGCCGAAGCTGGCGCTCCTGTTCACAAGGGCTTGGCTTCCCGAACCTCAGCCGAAGCCGGAACTCCTACAGTTGCAGCTTCAGGCTCCCAGCGATCCTGTCATGCAGGTTCGGGAGCAGATCCTCACCAAGCCTATCCAATTGGTTCGGGCTGCAGAGAAGATCCAGGAGGAGGAGGGCTGGGTGAAGGCGAAGAAGAGGGAGCGGATGAGATGAGGGGCGAGGAAGGTGCTGAGAAGGTTCCGTTGAAGGATCCAGGTGCAGGAGCAAGGCTGGAAGCAGGCTGGGCGCATGGAAAGCGATGGTCAGACCTCTCAGGTATGGTCAGACCTCTCAGGTATTGTGAGCCAAGATCTCTGATGTTTGCCAAAACAATGCGATCAATGTATCTTGCGAATGGTCTTCTGGGCATACGCTGCTAATTCACGTGCTTTTTCCTTACACACCTAAAACTAAAACCTTTTTTTTTTTCAATCGCCATGCATTTCCACCCGTGCATTACGCAAAATGCTCCTCAATTCTCCCTGTGTGGGTTCATAGCAGGGGCGAAAGGCACAGCACACAGGCCTGGTGCGGATTCAGCAGGTCTGGGTGGAGGAGAGGGGAGTGGCAGAGGGCGAAGAGGAAGCAGCACGTGGCCCAGGGAGCAGCAACAACCACTTCCAGGCCATGCGCAGCAGGATCAACGGCAGCAACAGCACGATCAGTACCAACAAAAGCTGGCAGCCAATCAGGTTCCAGACAGCGAGGACGCCACCGAGGAGCTTCCCATTGGTCGGCTGGCAGCGGCATCACGAGGCGGTAGTGGCGGTGGCGGTGGCGGTGTTGCTGGTGGATGCAACACTGGGGGTAGTGTGGATGGGAATGGCATGGTGACTGGCGGTGCTGCTGATGTGTCTGCTGCCCGATTCATGCCCACGGAGGCATCCACCCCTGGGAGGCTAGCAGCACCACATCAACGTGAGTCATCTTTTGTACCCTTTTCCTTCCCCTTGATAATCAAATTCCCCCATGCCGCCGCTGCCGGTTTCAGCGCTGGAGGTTTGGAGTTTCGTTATTCAACTGCTGCACCTCACCTCTCATGCCGGCGCTCCAGTTTTCCAGAAGTGCCTCATCATTTCCAGCTTTCCTTTTGTGTTATACATCCACAAACTCTTTTCATGGATTATTGGGCACGGCGCAGAAGCACCTCCACTTCAGAGAGATCCGGATCGCTGGATCGAAAATACAGAGGATGACGAAATGGAGGATAGGGCAGGGGGGTGTGTTCGAGGGCGTTTGGGTGAGGATATGTGTGAAGGTATTGGTGATGAAGATGAGTATGTGGATGCCACTCCACCTGAGAGGAGGATGTATGACGACGAGGATGAAACCATGGACTAACATGTTTGGTTTGGACTGCGGTAAAAGTTATCGCTATGTGATGTGAAGGCAATGTTTTGTACTTGGTAAATAAATGTGATGAATGCAATGTTTGAGAAATTTGTAGCCGCATTCATCAAACACTGTAAGCTGTCACATTATGGAGGTTTTGGTTGAGGTTTTTGCGCGCCGTTCTTGGGAATCGCGTCTCACTGCTGACGGAGAAGCTCATGTCGGCCTTCCAGATGGACACAGATCCTTCCACACGTGCCCATGTCGCACAAATCATTTCCTCGACGATGGCACTGCGACTGGCTGTGCGACCACGCGTGACGATGACAGTGCGATGCACATGCCTCGTCAGTCAAGCGCTAGTGTGCGACGCGCAGCACAGCAACTCCCAGTCCAAAGCGACTATATTCAAGGTCACATCAGCCCTACACACTCAAAACTGCCCAGACTACGTCGCACGCAGCTTTCAAGGCTACCACCAGGCAAGGAAAGGATGATATCAGTGTGTATCACAGCTTCCCTTCTACGCTTGATCGCAGTGTGCCGGACTTTGTCGCACGCAGTTCCCTAGGTTTGTTGTGCATCCCTCCACTCACTCCCACCTCCTGCCCCCCTGTGAGCTTTGCCTCACCCATTCCCACCACCAACCCCATCATCCCATACATTCCTTGCGACAGACGGACCCTTCTCTTCGCTGATTCCATTCTAGGGTTTCACTCCATTCCATGGCTCCAACAGCCGCTCAGGCTCTGGCTGCTTCCAACAGGTTTTGTGTGTGATTGTGGGGAACAGTGGTGCGATTGCGTCAACAGCTAAAACGAGATTTCGAGACCCACTTGGGACCGTGTGATCACGGAGGGTCCGTTGGTAGCTGGAGACGGTCACGGCACGGAAGGGAAGCTACAAAGCTTCTGGGATGTTCTTTCAATGCATTTCCTCGCTGTTGCTAGCTGTAGAATAAAATCAGCAGGATAGTTTCCGAGAGCATAGGAACGATGCTGGAAAGAACGGGGTCGCTGAATCCTCAGCGGCCGTCGAAGCGCGAAATGCCGAACCCTTACCATGACGTGCTGTCGACGCCGCGAGGGACGAGTCGGAACCGCGAGAGGGAGAGGGACGTGAGTCCGCTACTGAGACCAGACAGAGCACGGGAGCTTAACCCTAGTCTGGAAGCCAGCTTTGAGGCCTTGCGACTGGATAAGTCGAGGGAGGGTAGCGGATTGGCTCATTCGCGCGAGAGCAACGGAATGTCCATGGCCGATCCCGGTTCGAGAGCGGAATCGCTAAGAATGGGTCACAACGGCCTCTCCCAGATGCATCCTCTCTCCGCAGGCCTCTCCGATGTGCGTTCCTAACCTCGTTCCCATCCCCGTTATAATCCTCCTCCGTGTGTTTTTTTTTTAGATTTATCTTAGTCCATCATCGTCTGTCCGTTTCGAGAACGTTTTGCCGTTCCCCGATTTGCACGCTCGTCGAATCCGTGTACTCGGTCGCGTGTTACTTTCGCCGACGTCGCCTAGGGCTCCTTATCACCTGTTCGCATCCTCTCCATCTCATTACCACCACTGAGGCTTTCCAAAGTGTTTCCGTTTTGTGCAATTGTTTCGACCCTTGAAATCAATTCCAGGTAATGACGGGCATGCCGTTGAGCATGGACTTTAGCATGCTCGAGAGCATCAGCTCGTTGAACCGCACGACCGGCGGGCACAAGCACATGACGCCGGGCAAGGCGCACCCCATGGCGATGTCGTCGCAACGGCCCAGCATTCGTGTGTCGCACCTCGACGTCAGCGTAAGGCGCATTGCTGCTTGGTTGGTTCTCTCGTCGAGGGTTGTGCCAGGTTGCTTGCTGCTTTGTCCCTGCCTTTGCTTGCTCTTTCCATCCACACGCCTCCAGGCTCCTTCAACTGGCTCACATGGTTGTGAGTTTTGTGTGTCTCTCCGCGTGCTTGGCTCTCGTTTTGCTCCATGTCACCTCCCGCGAGGCTCCGTGTCCTTTCCTCCCCGTTGCTCCGTGTCCTTTCCTCCCGCGTTGCTCCATTTTCTTTCCTCCCGCGTTGCTCCATTTCCTTCCCCCTGGCGTTGCTCCGCGAGGCAGGACGGGTCAATGAGCAATCTCGAACGAGCACTCGAATACGCGAAGAAAAAAGTCGACGACGAGCTTCGCGTGTTCATCAGCGACATCGCCAAGCGGCTGAACCTCCCAGGCGCCGCGCCGCCCAGAACGCCTCCCAAGTCGCCTGTCTCTCCCACTAACGCCTACCCGTCAACGTTCACGTCGTTTTTGATGTCGCCGGAATCGTCCAGATGGGAACAAGGGGCGCTCTATCTTAAAGACCTAGCTGAGAAATGCCTACGCATGCACGCAGACGAGTTCGGATCGGCGTGCGAAGACATCGTGCACGATCTGAACATGGCCCGGCAGCAGCTTCCCATGGGAACCCTAAAGCAGCTGCACATGAAAATGCTCTTCATTCTCACGCGCTGCACGCGCCTGTTGCAGTCGCAGAAGGAAGCGGAGGCGGAGATGCCGTACGGGGGAGTGTATGGGGGGCCGTATAGGGGCGCGGAGGTGTTAGCCACGCCGATGGTTCGCAACCGCCCGCCTGGCTTGCCGTCGACGCTGCGATCGCAAGCGTCGATGGCGGCGACTCACTTCTCTTCGTTTACTAAATCGAAGCCGTTGGAGCGTCCCGCGGAGCTCCCCGCGGAGCACTCCGCGAAGCACTCCGCGGAGCACTCCGCGGAGCAGCCGGCGGAGAAGACGCGGCTGCAGCGGCAGCAGCAGCAGCCGCAGCAGCCGCCGCAGCGGTCGATCATCCGGTGGGACTCGTGCCCCGCGCCGGCAGACTGGCGGGTGCGCGACCCCAAGGCGGAACAGAAGGGGGGCGCGGGGTTGGGGTTGGGCGCGCGGAAGGATGAGGGGAAGCAGCGGAGCAAGAGCAAGTCGAATATGATGGACGACTGGAGTGCCGCGGTAGCGGAGATGAGAGGGGCTCTAGACGACGGTACCTACGTGCCCGGCGGGGATTTTAACCAAGAGGATAGCGCTGGCGCGAGTGCGAGTGCGAGCGCGAGTACTGGGTTCGGAACAGGTTTTGGGTCCGGGCTTGGTGCAGGGTCGAGTGCTGATGGAGGTTCGGGATTAGGTTCGGTATCAGGTTTGGTCTCGAGCTCGTCCAGCCAACTTGCGCCTTCTGGCTCGTCGGGCCTGGGATTAAGCTCAAGTTCAGGTTCGGGGCTTGGTTCGACAAAGAAGAAGCTGTCCGGTGGGTTGATTGGCGGAGTGACGAGTTTGGTTCGGATGGTTAGTGGGAAACTAGAGGAGCTGTTGGCGTCGGTGAAGGAGGAGGAAGCAGCAGAGATGGAGGAGGCGAGGAAGGATAGGGTGGAAAAGGGAAAGGAGAAGGAGAAAGGGAAGGAGAAGGAAAAGGGGAAGGAGAAGGAAAAAGGGAAGGAGAAGATGGATAAGGGCAAGGAGAAGGCTGAGAAGGGAAGGGACAAGAGTGCGGGAAGGAAGGGCAGCAGTGCGACCATGTCCCCATCGCCTATGCAGAGTAAACGGTTGTCGGATGATGGACGGGAGGAAGGAGACGTGTCTCTGGCGAGCACGAGTGGGGAACAGGGATGGCTGCAGCAGTTGTTCCAGCCGCAGCCGCAGCAGCAGCAGCAGCAGTATTCCCAGCAGCAGGAGGATCAGGTGCAATCCGTGGTGCCCCAGCAGCACGTGCAGGAGTTGCAGCAACAGCAGCTGCAGCCGCAGGGGCAGGCGCTGATGGATGCGCAGATGCTCGCCCCGGGCGCGGACACGCTCATGCGGGAGCAGGAAGCGCACGCGGCGGGACCGCCCGCTCCGCCAGCTGACGCGGAGGTGCACGGGTCCACGAGCGCACGGGGGCTGCTGTGGGGGCGGGTGGCGGAGATCCGCAAGGAGGAGGAGATTCAGCGCGCCTTCCGCAGCCAGTCCGCGCGGGACAAGTCCTCCGCCTCCAGGTCGGGCGACTCTGCCACGTCGCTGGCGCCGGCAGAAGAGGCGGTAGCACCAGCGGGAACAGCGGTTCGGGAGATGGGCCCAGCGGCAGACGCAGAGGTGGCGGCGGCGCTAGGTGTGGCGTTAGGCGCTGCGGGAGGAGCGGAGCCTGGGATTGCAGCCGCCCTTTCCGCGGGAGCTGGCGCTGGGGCAACAGGGACCGGCGGAGCTTGGGGTGAGACGGGGGACACAAGCATGGCGGGCGGGAGCATGGCGGCTGCGCAGGAGGGGATTAAGGGGAGTGAGGGAGTTGAGGGGAGGAAGGGAGGGGCGCGGCAGGGGCAGGGGGACGTGCGGCGGGAGGGGGAGTCGGAGAAGGCGCACAGACGAGGCGAGGGGCGCAGCAGCAGAGCGTGGGACGTGCGGATTCCAAGCGGGGAGGACGAGCGGATGGAGAGCCGGAGGCATGGAGGGGCTAGAGAGCCGCCTTCCCCCTCGGGTAACCTTGCAGAGGACTTTGACGATCTGCATGAGAAAGCGATGATGAGATCCGTGTCCGGGCGAAGAGTGCAGTATAAGTATGGGTACTGGGGCAAGGGAGAGAACGAGGAGGAGGAGGGCATGGATGGGATGGTGCCAAACGAGGGCGAGCAGGAGTGTGTGGTGATCTGTCGGATTTGTGAAGAGGAGGTGAATGTTACGCAGTTACAGGAGCACTCGCGGCTGTGCGCGCTCGCGAATCGGTGCGACTCGGCGCAGTTTTCGATTGACGATCGGCTGAGGCGGCTAGCGGACGGCCTGGATCACATCTCCAACGAGCAGGTGTCGCGGCTGGGCGCCATGTCGTTCCAACGAGTGCCGTCCAACTCGTCATCTGCTGCTGGCGGGCCGGCGTCGTCTGGAGTACCTGCAGGGCTGGATTCGCATTCCCAGCAGGTGGGTTTGATGGGGGTAGGGGGAGGTGCAGGGGCGAAGCAGGGCGGTGGCAGGTTTTTGTCTCCCTTGGGCAGCAGTATGGTGTCTCATGCAGACATGCGCGAAGGGGACGAAGGCGGCGCAGCCGAGGGAAAAGGAGACGGAGGAGGGGAGGGGGCGGATGGGTATGAAGGAGAGGAGCAGCAGATGCGCGAGCAAGACGCAGTGGAGCAGTGTAGCAGAGAAAACGGGTCGTTGCACCCGGGCGTTCCGATAAGCCCCACAGAAGATCACCCAGAGCATCAACATCACCCAGAACACCCAGAGCATCAAGGCGCAGGGGGCAGCAGCAGCAACAACGTGTCTAACTGGTCGTACGTGAGCCACCACCTGCAGCAGCAGCAGCAGCAGCAGCAGCACAAGCTGCAGCAGCAGCAGCAGCAGCTGCAGGCAGCGGGCGAGGAGGGCTCCCAGTACGAGCCGTCCATGAGCGCCGTGACGAGCATGAGCGGCGCTACTTCCACCAGCGGGTTCCTATCCGCGGGGACCGCGTCCCCCATGCCCACGTCGCCGGCAGGGTCGGTGGGCACGAGAGGGGACGGCCATGGGGGGTATGGGAGCCCCGGGTCGTCGCTGCTGAAGAGTGCTCTGGCGGGAGGCGGGAGGGAGCTGATGGAGGAGCACATCCACATGGTGGCTCAAGAGGAGATCGCTCTGGTGAGTCCCGGGTTGGCCTGGAGGGAGGACGTGTGAGTCGACTTCAAGTCACTTACTTGTGCTCTGTGCCTTCGCGCCTGCACTCCGTGGCTTCTTACTCCCTCACCCTCCCCAACACCCCACCCCCCCCCCCCCCCCCTCAGATGGACGATCTGGCGCACATAGCCCAGGACGTGGCAGATGTGTCACTGGAGGACGAGAAGCCCGAGGAGCTGCTGACGGGCGTGCGCGACCTCACACCCCCCACCTTCCCCCCATATTTCCCCCCACCCAACCCCCCCCCGCCCCTTCTATCAGATGGACGATTTGGCGGACATAGCACAGGACGTGGCGGACGTGTCACTGGAGGACGAGAAGCCCGAGGAGCTGCTGCTGACAGACATGCGGGACCTCACGGACCTGCTTCGCACCAACAATGCGCGCTTCCTCACCATTGATGTGTTCGGCCGCCGCATCACCAAGCTGCTGCAGTGAGTGTGCTTGCTTGTCCGTGCATGCATGTGACCTTTGAGTCGACTCAAAAGTCAGCTGACCTGACCTGCTGCGCACCAACGACGCGCGCTTCCTCACCATTGATGTGTTCGGCCAAGCTGCTGCAGTGAGTGTGCTCGCTTGCGTGCTTGACGCCTGGCTTGAGGTGCTCTAGGCTCAGTTCATCGTTGCTCGATTTCTGTTTCCGCCTCTTCTCTGCACGCGCGCCCCTCTCCTCACTCCCCTCTCTTCTTTGCACGCCCCTCTCCTCACTCCCCTCTCTTCTCTGCACGCCCCTCTCCTCACTCCCCTCTCTTCTCTGCACGCCCCTCTCCTCACTCCCCTCTCTTCTCTGCACGCCCCTCTCCTCACTCCCCTCTCTTCTCTGCACGCCCCTCTCCTCACTCCCCTCTCTTCTCTGCACGCCCCTCTCCTCACTCCCCTCTCTTCTCTGCACGCCCCTCTCCTCACTCCCCTCCTTTTTCTGCTCGCCCCTCTCCTCACTCCCGTCTCTTCTCTGCCCCCCCGTCGCCTCACACCTGTCACGTCACTCCCGTTTCCCCATGTCGCGTCGCTACTCCCCTGTGGGATGGGCAGGGAGAAGTACTACCGCCTGAGAGACATTCTGGACCACCAGATGGGCGCGGCAGCGAGTCCGCTCAATAATCCTCTTCTCCCTCCGTTGTACGCCTCCCCCCCCTTCCCCCTCTCTGCGTGCACAGAGAGAAGTACCACCGCCTGAGGGACATCCTGGACCACCAGATGGGCGCGGCAGCAGGCAGTGGGTCAACTCAATTTTTCTGTCCTTCCTCCCATCTCTCCCCCGCACACCTCCCTGACCCCCCCCTTCCTGCGTGCCTACCATGTTGCCAGGGAGAAGTACTACCGCCTAAGGGACATCCTGGACCACCAGATGTGCGCGGCAGCAAACAGTGCTCTGCAGGGCTATGGGGGGGCGGATGGGGGCGATGCAATGCAGTATGCGGACGAGGACGGGGAGGACGTCTTGAACCTCTCCCGCAGCGCCCGCAGCACCCCGCCCAACGCCTCTATGGGCGGCGGCAGCAGCATCGGTGGCGGTGGCATTGGTGGTTTTGCCGGTGGTGCTGGTGGCCCTGGTGGTGGTGGTGGCGGCGGCGGTGGTGGTGTGGCTGCGTCGTCGTCGTCGGCTTCGGCGGCGGGGCGGGATCGCACGACGATAGACGACTTTGAGCTGATCAAGCCCATCAGCAAGGGCGCGTATGGGCGTGTGTTCCTGGCCAAGAAGAAGACCACGGGGGACCTCTTTGCCATCAAGGTGCGTGCGTGGGTGGGCGGGTGCTGGGTGCATGGCTGGGCGCATGGCTGGGTGCATGGGTGGGTGCATGGCTGGGTGCATGGCTGGGTGCATGGGTGGGTGCATGGCTGGGTGCATGGCTGGGTGCATGGGTGGGTGCATGGGTGGGTGCATGGGTGGGTGCATGGGTGGGTGCATGGCTGGGTGCATGGCTGGGTGCATGGCTGGGTGCATGGCTGGGTGTTGGCCGTCTGGCACCACTGTCCATGTGTCAGCTGGTGAGGCAGGGAGTGAACAGAGGGGATGAAGGGATAAGGGGTTCCCTAGGCGCGCGCTGAAATCTTAAGTTCTGTTTGCACTCCTTGTTTGAATTGTTCGTGGCAGGTGCTGCGCAAGGCGGACATGGTGCGCAAGAACGCGGTGGAGAGTGTGCAGGCAGAGTCAAAAGCGTCTTTCCGAGGTTAATATCTGACTCCCCTGTGCTGCCCCTGTGCCTCCCCTGTCCCATTCCGTGTGTGTGCACACCAGGTGTTGCGCAAGGCAAACATGGTGCGCAAGAACGTGGTGGAGAGTGTGCAGGCAGAGTCAAAAGCGTCTTTCCGAGGCTAATATGTGACTCCCCTGTGCTGCCTCTGTGCCTCCCCTGTCCCATTCCGTGTGTGTGCACACCAGGTGCTGCGCAAGGCGGACATGGTGCGCAAGAACGCGGTGGAGAGTGTGCAGGCGGAGAGAAACATCCTCGCTTCCGTGCGCAGCCCCTTCGTGGTACGCTACGCATGCCTTGCATGGCAGCCCCTTCGTGTTTCTACTCGTTCACTTGCCAGGAAAATCTTTACCTGGTCATGGAGACCTCACTGCATTTCCCCCCTGTTTCTCACTCACTCGCTCACTCACTCACTCATCCTCTCTCTCACTCCTGCCCCCAGGTGCGGTGCTTCTACTCGTTCACGTGTCGGGAGAACCTCTATCTGGTGATGGAGTATCTCAACGGGGGCGACCTCTTCTCGCTGCTGCAGAACCTCGGCTGCCTCGAGGAGCCCATGGCCCGCGCCTACATTGCTGAACTCGTATGTGCCCTGCCCTGCCCTGCCCTGCCCTGCCCTGCCCTGCCCTGCCCTGCCCTGCCCTGCCCTGCCCTGCCCTGCCCTGCCCTGCCCTGCCCTGCCCTGCCCTGCCCTGCCCTGCCCTGCCCTGCCCTGCCCTGCCCTGCCCTGCCCTGCCCTGCCCTGCTCTGCCCTGTCCTGCCTGGTATGCGTGGTTTGGCTCCCTTTTGGGGCGTCCCACTGCCCCCTGACCCCACATGCCACGCCATTCCATCCCTCACACCATGCCCTGCCTCTCTCCCTCATCCCACCACCACTACCGCTATCAGGTGTTGGCGTTGGAGCATCTGCATGCGAGTGGCATCATCCACCGTGACCTCAAGCCTGACAACCTCCTCATTGCATACGATGGCCACATCAAGGTGAGCATGCCGCCATGCCAATGCCACCCATGCCTGCCGCTCGCTGATTATTCTGCCCCCGTCAGCACGTGCCGTCCCTTCTCTCAACCTCCATTCTTTGGTGCACGAGCACTGGTTCTGTCCCATTCATCCCTATCCCCCTGTTGCCCACCTCTTCCCCTCTTCTCCGCACCTTCTTCTTTCCACAGTTAACGGACTTTGGGCTTTCTCAGATGGGTCTATTCAACAGCACCGGTGACTTTGCCATCGGCCCTCTCACCACCACAGGACCCTCTGAGCCCCCCTCACCCAACGTCACCGCCGCCGCCGCCGCCGCTGCAGCCTCTGCTTCCGCCTCCGCTGCTGCCGCTGCAGCTGCCCTCTCCGCCTCCTCCCACCCCCCAGCCGCCCTCGGCTTCCCCAAATCCGGGTCGATAGATTCCGGCGCGTCTGTCTCGGCGTCTATCCCCACATCGCCTCTCTGGGCGGCGGACCGGGCGGCAGACTTCCCGCCCGCGCCGTCCGGTGCATCGTCCCGCCCGTCGTCCTCTTCCGGCCGCACGTCGCCGTTTTCGGGGGTTCCGGGCGGCGTGGGGATGGTGGGCGGCGGAGGGGGAGGGGGAGGTGCGGGAGGGATGGGGGGCGGATCGGCGTCGCCAGCGTGGAAGGCTGAGGTGGAGTCGTTGCAGGGTGCCGGGCGGAGTGCGTCGGCGGATGTGGAGAAGAAGAAGGAGCAGACGGTGGGCACTCCGGACTATCTCGCTCCGGAGATTCTGCTTGGCACGGGCCATGGTGCGTGGGGACGGGATGGGCATTATGGGTATGGTGAGGCATGGCAGGAATGCGCCATGTTGACGCGGTGGAGGGACGGTGCCAGATGTGGATATGGGGGTTTAGGGGCCATGGTGAGTCCGTAGGACTGGGACTTCCACGCAGTGGCGTCGCATCCCATTCCCCCCGCTCCTGCTGCATTGCTCATCTCTATCCCTCTGTTCCGCACCTTTGCTCCGTTCCACCTCCCTCCCCGGGTCATCCATGGTGCTGCAGGCGCCACAGCGGATTGGTGGGCGGTGGGAGTGATGCTCTTTGAGCTGCTCTGCGGTGTTCCCCCCTTCAATGCTCCCTCCCCTGAGGTGAGTGACAGTGCAAAGTGGCCATGTCCTTTTGTGCACATCTGGTTTCTAGGTGTCTCCTGCACCAGCGCACACACACGCACTCATGCTCTCCCTCCAACCATCCCTCCCGTCTCAACGCGTGCAGATCATATTTGACAACATTCTGAACCGGGACATTCCATGGCCGGAGGTGCCTGAGGAGATGTCCTACGAGGCCATGGACCTCATTGACAAGTACGTGCGCTTGCCCTCCGCTGTATGTCCTTGTGTGAGTGAGAGAGAAAGCAAAGCACACGCGCATGCGCATTCACCTTGTTGAGGGGCCCTGGAGGTGCCTGAGGAGATGTCGTACGAGGCCATGGACCTCATTGATAAGTACGTATGCTTGCTTCTTAAAGCCTGTGTTTTTAAACGGGAGAGCGAGCGAGGCTGTTCGCACATTCTTCTGGCACGGCAGGTACATTTCTGTTTAGGTTCATCATGTATGCGTAGAGTGGAACATGCGTCATCGACTCCTTCCTCGCACTGTCCGGCTCTCACCCGTCAACCCCTCCCCCCCCCCTCTCTTTGAGCCCCCTGCCAGGCTGCTGCATCCGGAGCCGTCACTGCGGCTGGGAGCGAGGGGAGCAGAGGAGGTGAAGGCGCACCCCTTTTTTTGACGGCATCCGCTGGGAGACGCTCGCGCAGGAGCAGGTGGGGCTGGGGCTGCGTGGGAGCCTGTGCGTGCGCTACGTGCCGTGTGCCATGTGCCATGTGCAAATGCTATGTCTCTTCTTCCTCTCTGCTTGCGCTTTGCTACAGAGGCGTTTGTACGTCCCTCTTGACCCTCTCCCTCCCTCATTCCCATTGCATCCCGCCCCTGGCCACTCGCCCCTCTCCCTGTCGCCACCACTCATCCTCCAGGCGGTGTTTGTGCCGAGTCCCGACAATCCGCACGACACGGGCTACTTTTTGACGCGCGGGTGGCAGCAGGAGCCGGGCGGCATGGACGGGGGGAACATGGCGATGGGCATGGGCGAGAGCGAGAGCGCCAGCAGCGACGCCTGCAGCAGCACATCTGCAGACGACTTTTACCAGGGCGAGCAGGTGAGGCGGTGACCGGGAGTCGGTGAGGCCATGAGGCGAGGGAGCAGGTGAGAGCGCTAGAGCGCTAGGTGAGGGAGGCTGTGGGAAAAGCAGGTGACGCCTGCAGCAGCTCATTGGCGGATGAAGGGTGTACAGGTGAGGGCAGGGGGGGGGGGGAGCGAGCAGGTGAGGGCGAGCGAGAGTGAGAACGAGAGTAGAGGGGGGATGACCGGAGTGGTAGAAAATGTTTCTCTGTGTGAAGGAGTGTGGGAGTGGATGGGGACTCACCTGTGTGCCCGTGTTTATGTCTCTCCCTGGGTTTGCATTCTTCTTGAAAGAAGGAGTGTTTTGAGACGTCTCAAATCACCTGTGTGCCCTTGTTTATGTCTCTCCCTGTGTGCCCGTGTTTATGTCTCTCCCTGGGTTTGCATTCTTCTGCTGTGCTGTGTGTGTTGTGCTGCATGGTGGTGGTGGTGGGTGGCAGGGGGACGAGCCCGGGGACATGAGGAACTTCTCAGACAATGTCGCTGCTGCCTTCACCAACTTCTCCTTCAAGGTCCGTGCTCATGCTCATGCTCATGGTGATGGTGGTGGTGATGGTGATGCTGATGCTGATGGTGACAGTGATGATGGTGGTGATGGTGATGCTAATGCCGGCGCTGCTGATGGCTTTTGAGACGTCTCAAAAGTCTGATGAGGATCCGGATGCTGATGCTGCTTCTGCTGCTGCTACTTTTGGGGCATGGGCTGGTTTACACTCGTGCCGTTTGAGTCGACTCAAAAGTCACCTCTGTTGCTACTTTTGGGGCATGGGCTGGTTTACACTCATGCCGTACGCGGGTGCATTGGTTTTTCTATGATTGTGTGTGTGTTGGCGCGTGGTGCCCCATGCCCTCTCTCACAGCCGTCTTTCCGAGTCTTGAGCCGTGTAGCAAGTTCTTTTCATCCCATGCCCTTTCTCACAGCCCTCCAAAGTACATGCTCTCGTCTCTCACTCTGCTCCTTACCCTCCCTCCCTTCCTCCCTATGCTCCCCCCCTTTCATATTCTCTTGCAGAACCTCTCCCAACTGGCTGAGATCAACTATGAGTTCCTGGGCCGGCAAAAGAGCCCTCCCAGCCATCTCAAGTGACAAATCCTTTTACTGAACCACGCCCTTTTTTTAACGAAGCAGCCTTTACAGGGGCAGCAGAGCAGGCACAGGAGCACCCACACCAGCACTACCCCCCACGGCAGCAGCACGTGGTTTTGACAAGCACACTGCACTGCAAACTGCACCCTGTTATGTTGCTCCCCCGGGAAGTTCATTTCACCACTCAGCACACTCCCACAGCACCACTCACACAGGGTGTTTTACTAGAGGCAGTAAGCAACCGTTTGAGCTTTCCTGTTTTGGCACCACCATTCATGTGGGCCGAGCAGAGTGTGTGCCGGCGTGCATGTGTGGTTGTGTGTGTGTGTGGTTGCATGCGCGTCTGTGTGCCTTTTGTTCTCGTCTCCCCGATTGTTCTCCGCTGCTTCCGGTCCAGCTGTAGCTGGCTGCTAGTGCCGAACCGGAGAAAGAGGGACAGAGGGCATATGAGATTGATGGAATACATATGGGGCTGAGTGCGGTAGAGATGGATTGCAGTAGAGATTGGGGAGAAGGGCAGTGGAGGGGAGGAGCGAAAGGGGCAGGAGACAAAGCTTCATGTGCCGGCCTGAGGCAATGCAGATTTCATCAGCACAGATCAATTTACGCAGGCCCATATCGGAAGCTTCTGTTGCCGGTGTGCCGCGCAAGGCCGTGTTGAGCATTGTGGTTTTTCTTTTTGCCTTGTCGGCATCCTTTTTTTTCTCTCCAATATTCCGATACGGTTGCTGCGCTGAAGGCCTTATGCAGCAGTCTTGGGCGAGCCATGTGTGGTGCATCCATCAAGTTAGCTATTCTTGCCAATGCTCGAAGCCTTTTTATTATTCTGTCTTTAGCCTTGAGGCTGTTTCTACAATAACAAATTTTCTCTGCTTCTGGTTGTAGTGAATACGAATTCATTACTGTAGAGGCTGCTCCTAGCGAGGACAACCCAGAGCATTTCGCGACAGTTTCGAGGTTCGGCCTACACTTCGGACCGAACCACTGCCGAGTCGCCCCGCACCAATCCCGACACTTCCAAACCAACCACGTCCCGAGGTCCTCGCCTACCACGGTTTCGACCCTATAAATGCATGCCTCTTTATCATTTTATAAAGTCTTCTGCGCACTCTTCTTAGTACAACTCATAACACTGGTGCTCGTGTGTAACTAAATGTGTACTACGGATGTCACTAAATAATTGTGCTTTGGCGGAAATATTTCTGATACAGAGCCAATCCAAAGCCTGGTGCCAACATTTGACGGGTCTGGTGCTATCCAGACCAGGATTGAGAGCTCCGAATTGCCGCCGCTCAACGCGCCTCTGCTGTCGGTACGGATGCGTTGCTAGGGAGAGTATGACACTCGTTGTTAGGTCTAGCGCCGGAATATTACGAGGCGGGTTTTTTTCTGTTCCTCTCTGAATCTCGAAGTCGCCCTTTATTTCTGTAAGAGAGTAATCTGAATCAGCGTGGGGCTTCTCCATCAGAACCATGAAGCGGCGCGGGGCTGGTCTCATCCTCGATCTCCCCGACGAGGTGCTGACGTCTATCGTACGTCAGCTCGAAAATCCCGCCGATCGACGAAACGTAGCTCTCGCATGTTCGCGATTTCGCGAACTCGAAAATTGTTCTCGCCGCAACCTGACCTACAAGGCCCGCCAGGGGACTCCCCATGCCCAGATTCTCGAATCGCTGCTTCGGCGATGCTCGGCTCTCGAGGATATCTCCGTGATCAACGATCGAGGGAAATCGACGGTTGGCGATGAGCTGCTGCTGGCCGTCGGATCGAGATGCTCGCAGCTGGAGCGGCTGAGCCTCGTGGGATGCGAGGGGGTGACGGATAATGGATGGAGGACGTTCAGTGCACAGTGCCGGTGAGTGCTCGGATTCATTTTGCTAGTTTTTGTTTAATATCTGTGTCTTGTTTAAGTAGATTCGCCCACATTCAAGCTTCGTCCTGTGCCTACTACATGTGAGATCGCCGTGGTTTCTGTTTCCACTCATCACAATTTTCGACCATTGTGTACCACACACCTATTCGCCTTTTTGAGAATTCTTAAAAAAAAAAACCTGCAACACCTCTTCACCTTTCTCCACATCATCTTTCCTCTGTGACCTCACCCCCCCCTCGCTCTCTCCCCCCTTTCGCCTTCTTCCCCCTTCCCCCTCCCACCTTTCCCCCCTCCCCCAACCCTACCAGCGCGCTCAAGGCGCTCGAGCTCCGCCTTGTTTCCGCCAAAGCAGTCTGCCCGCCCCTCTCTGCCTTCCCCTCGCTGCTCTCCCTCACACTTTACCGCCTAGACGGCCTCCCAGTGCAAATCTCCTCCCTCTCGCACTGCTCCTTCCTCACCTCCCTCTCCCTCTGGCACCTTACCGACCCGCTTCTCTCCTCCCTCTCCTCCTCCTCCCCCTCTCTCCCCGCCCTCCAATCCTTCACCCTCACATCAGCATCAGTCACAACTTCCCTGGGATCCCTCGGTGCTTTCCCTCTCCTCTCTTCACTCGCTCTCTGCCAATGCTCGCAAATTGGTCCCCCTGAAATGCACTCTCTCTCGTGCTCCCTCCACACACTCACCCACCTGACCATCCAAGACTGCCACATGATTCCCTCCTCTGCGGTGGCCGCTTTAACCGCTGCTAATTCATCTATTGTGTCTCTCTCCCTCCGGGGCAACAGGCGTCTCTTCAGCCATGTGGGGATTGAGGCGGCACTTAAATCCATCGCCGGCGCTTTAGAATCGCTGACGCTTAGTGGCATGCCGATGCTGATTCCGGACGCTCTTGCTGGGTGCACGCGATTGAAGTCACTAGGGTTGGAGTATGGAAAGGGGTCCGTGTGGGATATTGCAGGCATGCTGGGTGTAGGGAGCATTGAGCCGCCTCGAGGATCGTTGTTTGCTGTTGCTGGCATTGTGATTGATTGGCTGGGTGACGTGCAGCATGAAAGAGGAGGGAGGGGAGGAGGTGGTGGAGTGGGAGAAGGTGGGGAAGGAGGTGCAGGAATAGGACGAGGAGAGGGACTAGATGCAACTCTAGGCTTGAGCACGACTGCACCAGTGGACGCACCTGCTCCACCTTCATACGTGGAGGCAAAAGTTGTGCCTTTGGAGTCCCTCTCTCTCCACTGCTTTGAGTTTCGCTCGGATGTTTTTCTCTCCGTGGTTTCGACTTCCCCCTTCCCTCCACCTCCCTCACGCCACCCGTGTTTCCGTGCGTTTACGGAGCTGAGACGACTGTCCCTGCACGCTTGTTCGGGGCTTGAAGGAAGGGATTTCCATGAGATTTTCCAGTCCTGTCCTCGTTTAGAGCATCTCCTTGTGGACTACAATGACGCGTTCTCCGACCGGGTGATTTCGGAGTGTAGACTGGAAAGGCTCACACGTTTCAGTGTTGTAGCATGTCCCAAGGTGACAGCAGAGAGTATCGGGGGTATTCTAGGGAGTTTCCCGAAGCTACGGTGGTTGAAGGTGGAGAAGGTGAAAGTCACAGAGAGAGCTAGAAGGGTGTTCCTGAGGGCTGGCATGATTATACGAGTGTAATTTTGAGTAGAGTTTATGCACCCCATAAATGATAGATGTTCGATGCATTGGCTCTTGTGAGATCCTTGCTGCCGTCACCATTATTACCGTAACTGCGTGAAGACACTTGGTGAAGGCCTTCGCAGCGGTCTTGAGCTCCATCCAAGAAGATTATTCATGCCAAGCATGGTTCTTGTGTTCGTTCAATATAGCCGTTGGGGTGCCTGTACGTTTCATAGGAGTGTAGACATTATACAAATCGGACCGCTCATTCAGACACGCGTATCGCGACGCGAGCACCTCTCATTCAGAATGCTTCGTCGTTTGCGTCGCAAGCACCACGGCTTTTCGACCCTCCCGAACCGCGCGTAAGCCCGGATCTAGCATAGTCCCTCGTTCATAACCGTCTAGTGGATTGGAAGCTCCGAATAGCCGCAGCTTACCCGCCTCTGCCACAATGTGACTGTGTTCTTAGGGAGGGAGATTATGACTCCTCGTTGTAAGGTCTAGTGCTGAAATGTCAAGGCTGGGTTTGTTACCGTAAATCCGTTCTTTTTGTTAGCTTTGAGGTAGCATCTGGCGACGCATTTAATCATCATAGAGTAAGTTTCTTCGGAGCCATGAAGTGGATCGGGCCTGCTCGCATCTTTGATCTCCCAGACGAGGTGCTGACGTCGATAGTACGTCAGCTCCAGAACCCCACTGATCGGCGAAACGTCGCCCTCTCCTGCTCGCGATTTCGCGAACTCGAAAACCGTTCGCGCCGCACCCTGACCTACAAAGCACGCCAAGGGACCCCCCACGTCCAGATACTCGAATTGCTGCTTCGGCGATGCTCGGACCTTGAAGATCTCTCCGTGCGAGGGATATTGACGGTTGGTGATGAGCTGCTGCTGGCCGTCGGATCGAGATGCTCGCAGCTGGAGCGGCTGAGCCTCGTAGGATGCGAGGAGATAACGGATGATGGATGGAGGAGGTTCAGTGAGCAGTGCCAGTGCGTGTCCCGATACTCATTACTGGTTGTATTTCGAGTTTTCAAACCTAATTCTTAAAATTTTCGTAACCTATTTTTTAAACTAGTCAGGTAGATTCTCGTACCGGGCTTTCGAGGCGCCTCAAATCTCGTCCTGTGCGTGATTGCATCTCAAATCGCGTGGCTTCTGGTTTGACTCCTCAGATCATACTCACCGATTCTCGTCTATCTCTGCTTCTTCTCCTCACCCCCTCACCCTTGTCCTCCACTTCCACCCCTCCACACCCCCCCCTCCCCCCCCCCCCCCCCCCCCCCCCGCCTCTCCCCTCTTCTCCTCCCCCTCCCCCCAACTCCACCAGCGCGCTCAAGGCGCTGGACCTCCGCCTGGTCTCCGCCAAAGCAGTCTGCCCGCCCCTCTCCGCCTTCCCCTCGCTGCTTTCCCTCACGTTCTACCGCATAGACGGCCTTCCAGTGCAAATCTCCTCCCTCTCGCTCTGCTCCTCCCTCACCTCCCTCTCCCTCTGGCACCTCACAGACCAGCTCCTATCCTCCCTCTCCCCCTCCTCCCCCTCTCTCTCCTCCCTCCAATCTCGTACCCTCAAATCAGCATCAGTCAAAACCTCCCTGGGATCCCTCGGTGCTTTCCCCCTTCTCTCCTCTCTCGCTCTCTGCACATGCTCGCAAATTGGTCCCCCTGAAATGCACCCTCTCTCGCGCTCTCTCCACACACTCACTCACCTCACCATACAAGACTGCCTCATGATTTCCTCCTCTGCACTGGCCGCTCTAACCGCTGCTAATCCATCTCTCGCGTCTCTTTCCCTCCAGGGCAGCTGGCGTCTCTTCATGCCTGGAGTGATTGAAGCGGCGCTTAAATCCGCCGCCGGCGCTTTAGAATCGCTGACGCTTAGCGGCGTGCCGATGCTGAGCCAGGGCATGCTTGAGGGGTGCACGCGATTGAAGGCGCTGAGGTTGGAATATGGAAAAGGGTCCGTGCTTGATGTTGCTGGTACGCTGTGTGGAGGAAGGCTTGAACCACGTCAGCGTTTGGTGATTGATATTTCTGATTTGTTTTTTGGAGGGGGGGGGGTTGGGAATGGCGTGGAAGAGAAGGAAGGGAACAAAGTGTTGGAGAGGCAGCGGGTGGGGAAGGAGGAGCAGATGGAGGAGGAAGGGGAGAGGCAACTGTTGTGCCTCTGGAATCGCTCTGCCTCCACTGCTTCGCCTTTGCCCCGGATGCTCGAGTCTCCCTACTCTCCACCTTCCCTAGGCCTCCCCCGTCGCTCATCGCATTCAGGCAATTGAGCCGGCTGTCCCTGCACACTTGCACGGGGCTAAAAGAAAGTGATTTCTATGCGGTTTTGCAGCCCTGTCCTCGTGTAGAGCATCTCCTTGTGGACTATAACGACGCGTTCTCCGACCGGGTGATTTCGGAGAGTAGACTGGAAAGCCTCACGCGTTTCACTGGGGTAGCATGCCCCAAGGTGACTGTGGAGAGTATTGGGGGTATGCTTGGGAGTTTCCCAAAGCTACAGTGGCTGAAGGTGGAGAAGGGAAAAATCACAGAGAGAGCTAGAAGGTGTTCCTGAGGGCTGGTGTGATTCTACGAGGAGTGTGATTACGTGTGGAGTTCAGGTGCTGCAGAAATCATGGATGCTAAGTGCACTGGCCCGAGTGAGATCGTGTGAAATGTCACCACAGCGGGGCGCGTGACGGGTCAAAACTCATGCTCTAGGCCGAATGCGTTTCGATGTTTCTTCAGCGTGACAATGGGCACTTAGCGAGAGAGTTAGCATACAGTATGGCAACTCTGTCCTCCTGAAAGGGCTCAAATAGTTTCTTAAAACAGGCAATGCACGCAGAACTGCAGACACTTTCTTTCAACAGTAACCAGACAAGTCTGGTTGGACCGATGGTGGGGTCCAAAATAAGGGGTTCTGCTTAGGACGTAGGCACCCCAAAAAACCCCTACCACAATACATCTTATTTTCTGTGTTCGACAGGGTCGGAGTTTGGTGGTCAGGTTCTTTCAAGCAGAGGCTGCGTTATGCCAGAGTCTGTGGGGGCGCTCATGGCCCCTCCAGGGGGTGTGCGGGAGAGAGCTGAGAAGTCAGCAGCAGCGGCAGCAGCGTATGCTGAGTTGACATCTGGCGGGTTGGAGCGGGCATCTGGGCGCACCAAGCCTTGCAGGTTGTGTGAGGAATTGGCCTGGGGGGAGTGGAGGGAGAGGATGGGAAAGGAAATGGGGGAAAGTGAGGGGGAGATGGATTGGCAGGAAGAAGTGGGAATCGAACAAGGATAGTAGGGATGGGCCGAATGAAGGGACAGGCAGATTTGAGGGGATGGGCAAAATGCAACGATCCCTGAAAGCAACAAGATGGGGACGGCAAGGATGACAGCAGCACTTTTTTATGACTCGTAGCATGCTTATGCAGGCAGGCAGAGAGGGGTTGAGTTGAGCGGCTTACAAGCATGCGAGAGGACGAAGGGACTCGTCTAGGCATGATGTTGAGCCCCACTTTGGCTGCCACCCGGATGCTGCAGTATGTGGTAAGACGTGGTGACATGTGGTGACATGTGGTGACATGTGATGCGATATGGTGACATGGGGTGAGATATGGTGACACGTGGTGAGATATGGTGACATGGGGTGAGATATGGTGACACGTGGTGAGATATGGTGACATGTGGCGACATGTGGTGATCGGTGGTGATAAATATGCCGAAGACCAAAAGAGCACGAACAAATCATAAGTTCTGAAGGTCTAGGTAACCTTCAAGAAGACAAGGGCAGAAGGAGCACAAATGAGCAACAGGAATATACAGATGCTGGGCAGTGGCAGAGTGCATGAGTGAGTAAGTGCAAGCGAGTGTCTGAGTGAGAGAGTGAGCGAGCGAGTGAAAGAGTGAGAGTAAGTGAGTGCATGAGTGAAAGTGAGTGAATGAGTAGTGAGTGAGTGAGTGAGTGAGTGAGTGAGTGAGTGAGTGAGTGAGTGCAAGAGTGAGCAAGGGAGCATGCAACGCACCGTCGGTGCACGTCAATGTACTCATCGGTCTCATCCACTATCTCCTCCTGTCGGGCCACCAAAGGGGGAGAGCAACGCAAAGGAACGAGGATAGATGTTGTACAGGGCAGGGGAGCAAGCAACAGAAGGTGTCCCGTGGGTAAAAGTCAAAGTACTCATCGGTCTCATCCACTATCTCCTCCTGTGGGACCACCGAGGGGGGGAAGCAAGGATAGGTGTTGCACGGGGGAGAAACCAACAGAAGGTGGCAGGAAGGATGTGTGGGAAGGCGTCACCGTCAGTGCACGTGAATGCACTCATCGGTCTCATCCACTGTCTCCTCCTGTGGGACCACCTAGGAGGAAGGAGAACACAATGGAGAAACAAGGATAGGTGTTGTACAGGAGAGCGAGCATAGATGGGCCCTCAATGGCCTTCCCATCGCACACGACAGCATGCGAGGAACCAGCACACCTGCACTTATAAGAAACCAACGCAATTGCAGTTCTGAAAATCCAACGCAATTGCAGTTCTGAAAATCCAACGCAATTGCAGTTCTGAAAATCCAACGCAATTGCAGTTCTGAAAATCCAATGCAATTTGCAGATTTGAAAATCCAACGCAATTGCAGTTCTGAGAATCCAACGCAATTGCAGTTCTGAAAATCCAACGCAATTGCAGTTCTGAAAATCCAACGCAATTGCAGTTCTGAAAATCCAACGCAATTTGCAGTTCTGAAAATCCAACGCAATTGCAGTTCTGAAAATCCAACGCAATTGCAGTTCTGAAAATCCAAGGCAATTGCAGAGCAGCTCAACTAGCCAACGCACCTGCAATAGCTCCTCGATTAAAACTTTCCGTCTCACGACCGCACACAGCTGCACACAACTGCACACAACCGCAGTTGGCCTTTTACGCACCTGCAGCAGCTCCTCAATCACGTCTTCCAGTGTGATAATCCCCACCACCTCCTCCGTCTCATCCCTCCTCTCCCACCTCCACCCTCCCACTGCCCCTTCCCTCTCCTGCTCTCTCCTCTGCCCCTCCGCCCTCCCACTCCCTCCATGGCCCTCCCTCCTCCCCGCCCTTGCCTTCCGCTCCTTGGTAGTATACACCACATCTATACCCTCCTCCTCCCCTGCTCCCCCCGCTGCTGCACCCCCTGCTCCGCACCCTGCCCACCCTCCTGCTCCGCCCCCTGTTAGCCCACCTGCTGCTGCTGCTCCTACCGCCCCCCCTGCTGCACCTGCTGCATGAGTACGAGATACAGCGCCCACAGACAGGCCTGCACGAGGCATGCCTGGGTGCTCCTGCCACTGCACACGCTTGGGTGCATGTGCCTCCGTGTGGATTAGACCCAACCCTGCCTCTGCCACAGCAGGCGCGTGGGTATGCTCAAACCCAGCAGCAGCACCAGGAGCACCAGCGACCCCATGGGTGTGCTCGTATCCCGCACTGGCAGCAGCAGCAGCGAAGGCAGCAGCAGCAGCGAAGGCAGCGGCAGCGGAAGACCCTCCAGTCGCCAGAGCCGCTGTTTCTGCAGCCAGCAGCACAGGCGGGGGCGTCCTGGGGCGCTCAAACCGATAGTGCTGCTGCTGATGGTGAGACTCATGCGGATGGTGAGACGCATGCGGATGGTGAGACTCATGCGGATGGTGAGACGCATGCGGATGCTGATGGTAATGGCCAGGAGGAGGAGTGAGGGAGCGCTGCAAGGGTGAATCTCCAGTGGATGCTCCTCGGAACACAGTGCCTTGTGCGTGCCCCTGAGGGGGAGGCGTCCTGGGCTCCTGCTGCTGACTGTTCTGACTCCGTCCATACCCATACGCATTCCCACTCCCATACTCATACCCACCCCCATAGCCATAACCATGCTCGTGCAGGTCTTCTGAGTTGCGGCGGCTGTTGCCTCCCTGGTTGTGAGTCTCACAGTAGGTGGGGTCGTTGAAGAGTGCGTGCTGAGAGGACTCCGATGTGCTCGTGGGCATTGAGATCGTCAGCACATCTGCCTGCCCCACTTGCACTTCCCCTGCTTGCACCGCCCCCATACCCCCACCAGCAGCACCAGCAGAACCACCACCGGCGGCGGCGGCAGCAGCAGCAGCGGCAGCAGCGAGGGAAGCATGGGTGGGAGGGGGCGGGGTTTTCTTCTTGACGACCACGGCCATGTGCGAGCTGCCCTTTTGGAACTCGTTCAGCACACTGTACAGCGGCAAGCTCGCTGCCATCCTGGCAGCGCACAGGGAAGGAGGGGGGCGTCTCAGAAGGTTGTTGTTGACGTTTTCTTTTTTTTCTTTTCTTTTTTTTTTTTCTTTTTTACAAGTATCAGATGGCTATAAAGACGTCTCGAAAGTGGCCTACCTGGGGACGCGGCGGATGGAGATGGAGCTGACAGGGGTCTCATCCTCGGGGCGCACGGTGAGGAGCGTCTTGGTGAGAAGCACGCCTATGATGTTGCTGGGATGGCCCCGATACACCGGCACCCGGCTGTGGCCCCTTGCTAGAATGCGCCCCATCGTGTCCCTGCCACGCACACGCTCGGAAAAGGCATGGGCTTGAGTTGGAAGAGGCGTGATGGGGGCACATGGTTAGCTGAAAGACTTGAGCAACTAAGGAATATAACCAGACCAGAAAAAAGGGACGAGAGGTTTACAGAACTCACCTCAGCAGAGGCCATTAGCACACTAGGCAGCACAAAGATACTTGATTGGAAGATGGGTTGTAGACACGCTGGTTGGAACATATTTTGAGAACTTCCAAACGCTCAGGCTACGGCATTAGCCAGACGTGTTTAGGCGCGCCTACCAGTCAAGGCGCGAGTTGACGCTGAGAGAAAAGGTCGACTCTATGGGGGTCATTGCCTCCTCTGCTGTCTACAGCCAAATGCAGGACAGGAGCATCATTACACAAGCAGAAGGGAGAGGAAAGGAAAGTTTTTAAGGGTGGCAAAGAGAAGCTAGTCTGCTTCACAATCATCTCCTTTGTGTTGATCACATTCAATTGAGGGTGCGAGCAGATTCAGGTTCTCTCTGTAAGGTCAACGCCTGCATTCCAAACTCTGCACTCTGCGCACCTCAGATTCACATTCTGCAGAGCGAACCTCCAGTCACCAACTCAGGTTCGGCTGATTGATTGTATGTAGGAGACCTTTGAGTTGACTTTTGAGTCGACTCAAAAGTCACCTATGTAGGAGACCGCAGGCTGAACCTCACCTTCTGTGTGAGATCAAGAGCGCCACTGATGATGGTGGTCTCACTGCGAGTCAGCTCCCCTCCCATGCCCGCCTGGTGGTGACATGAGAGGTGGGGGACGGCCATGGGGAGGGGGGGATTGGCAACTGAGAGTGGAAATTTGAGACGTCCCAAACGTCGCTGTGAGTCAGCTCGCCTCCCATGCCGCCTGGTGCATTGGGGGAGTGGGGGATTCGCCATGGGGAGTGGGGGATTCGCCATGGGGAGTGGGGCATTCGTGATAGGCATAGCATAGGGAGTGGGGCATTCGCCATGGAGAGTGGGGCATTCGTCATGAGATATGATATATGAGATATTCTCAACAGAGAGTGGAGACTTCGCAAGGTGGGGTACGGAAAAATAGCTTTAGGATGTGGGGAATCTGCAATTGGGTTGGGACGCACATGCATGGTAGGGAGGCGTTGCGAAGGAATGCAAGGGATTGGAGGGGTTGGAGCAAGGAGGAGGCGAGATGGGGAGAGGAAAAGGGATGGGGGGGAGGAAAAGGGATAGGGAGGGGCCATGAGACATGCAACGAGAGGAAGGGACAAGGACCCGTGGAGTGGAGGAATGTTGAGGACCCATGCCTATGCCCCATAGACGCGTGCAGCTGCCCCTGCTCGCCCACCCCAACTCTTACCCTTCTCGCACCCCACTCCTTTCCCTCACCCCACCTCTGCAACTGCTCGCCCCCCACCGCACCTCTGCACCGTGGATGCTGACGAGTGCCTTGAGCTGCTGGCGCCTGAAGAGCGGGTCATCGTGCCCCAGCAGATAGTCCAACACCTGGGGGGAGGGTGTGGGTGGGGGAAGTGGGGGGGTAGAGGTGGTATGGGTGGGTGGATCGTCATGCCCCATATCTCTTTGCCTGCTGGCTCCCCACCACACCTCTGTGCCTTGAGCTGCTGGCGCCAGTAGATAGTCCAGCACCTGGGGGGGGGGTAGGGGGGGGGGGAAGAGGGGGGACGGGTGGGTATGAGGAGTGGTTTGTGCGTGTGGATGGGTGGGTGGGTGGGTGGGTGGGACATGCCCCAAGAGATAATCCAGCACTTGGGAGGGGAGGACGGGGGAAGTGAGAGGTCTGGTGGAGTGTGGGGCATGGGGTATGGGTATGGGCCATGGGTATGGGGTATGGAGCATGGGGTATGGGCCATAAGAATAATCCAGTACCTTCAGCAGTGGGAAAACATGTAGCTCAAAACAGTGGAGGGTCGCAAAACAGGAAGCTTCTGAGCAAGCGGGTGAGTGAAGAGAGAGGGGGGGCAGAGGCACCTTGGCGATGGGGAAGGCGATGGGCCAGCAGAGAAGCATGAGGCAGCGCACGAGGGGAATGAGATTGGCGCCCACTGCCAGCCCGTACCTCGAGCACACCGCTTGCGGAATCACCTGCGAGGGAGGATGGGATTCCGGTGGAGATGGAGGAGGGATGGATAGGGTCGTAAGGAGATAGACTGTGTATAAGGCGAGGTGAAAACAGACGGATTCGGATGTCTGAGACGCACAGACACACAGGCACGCATTGTGCGTGGAAGGATTGATTCGGTAGTATTGTGCCGTCAACCTTGCAGAAACAAGTGTACTACGCATTCAACTCCCATGCTGCACTCGCCTCTCCTCCGCATGCTGCTGCGCTCACCTCACCAAAGAGCAGCACGAAGGAGACGGAGAGTGCAATGGCGACAGCTGGAGGGACCAGGCGGTCGAGAAACACCGGCAGGGCCTGCGATGGTGGGATGGTGCAATGATGTGAGGATGTGATGATTCGAGGAGTAACGGACATGCAGCAACGAGCGAATCTCCCAGAGTTCACGGAATGCAACCGAGAGCACAGATGCTCTGGAGGAAAGCAACTCTAATAAAGGAATTTGGCTGAATGGATCTCTTTTGGCTGACACGTGGCACTGGCAGCGCCGCACCACACTGCCTCCCTGACCGACCACAGCATCACCGAGCAGGCGAGGGAGTGCAACTCGTGACTCGAGCTTCACGCGTACCTCCATCGCGGATCTGTGCTCATGAAGAAGGGCAGCAGTAGGCAAGCCTCAAAAGGCTTCACGCGTACCTCCATCGCGACGGCGTTGCAGAGAAGCAGCGTGACCAGCAGCTCGTGTTGTTTCTCCACTACAGGGATAATTGCCGCCGCCTGCCGCTGCTCGTCCGCCGTGCCGCTCTGAACCAGCACCTCCAAGTCTACGGGCTCAGCGACATGAGGCCGAGCGTCAGGCCCGCATTAGGCCCGCGAACAGACACCTGCTGTGAGTGACATCTAACCTGCTGTGAGTGACATCTAACCTGCTGTGAGTGACATCTAACCTGCTGTGAGTGACATCTAACCTGCTGTGAGTGACATCTAACCTGCTGTGAGTGACATCTAACCTGCTGTGAGTGACATCTAACTGCTGTAACCTGCTGTGAGTGACATCTAACCTGCTGTGAGTGACATCTAACCTGCTGTGAGTGACATCTAACCTGCTGTGAGTGACATCTAACCTGCTGTGCCGTGACATCTAACCTGCTGTGCCGTGAGCAACTCAGCACACGCCTTTTCAAGCTCACCTCCATCGCAACTGCGTTGCACAGCAGCAGCGTGACCAGCAGCTCGTGTTGTTTCTCCACTACAGGGATAATCGCGGCCGCCTGCCGCTGCTCGTCCGCCGTGCCGCTCTGCACCAGCACCTCCAAGTCCACGGGGCTCAGCGACATGAGGCCGAGCGTCAACCCGGACATTAGGCCCGCGAACACGACGAGAAACGCGGAGAGACCCGCGAAGAACCACCATTCCGCCTCGCTAATTGGCGGCTCGGAGAGAGTTAAGAGGCCGAGAAGGGGTTGGAAAGCCGTGAGAAGCATGGCGGCTGATGGTAACCGCTCGGATGGCGAATTTGGAATGTCGCCCGATGGAACTGGGCTTGCGCGAACGATTAGTGTTACGACGAACAACCAGCAAAGGGAGACATGGTTACAGGTGGAGAATTCGGAGCCTAGGAAGCTGGCGAATAATGTGCTTTGCTAGAAGGACGGAGAGCCGACGGGACGTCGAGGGGCGAGCAGCTTCAGGAATTCAGGCCAAGGAGGACAAGGCGGAAGAATTTGGAGCAGCAGACAGAACAGAGGTGTGCTGAAGAGGTTGGAGGGGGGAAATGGTCCTAAAAGTTGTCGTGAGCCTGGCAATGAAGGGGAGCGAGTGGAAGAGCTTCCAGAAGAGACGCAATTTATATTTCGAGTCCACTAAAGGATCATTCGTTAAAATCTCGCATGTTTCTTTTGGTACGAGTAGTAAGTACACACAAGTTCGGTAAAGCGGACCTGTCTGTCAACAGGATGACCTCGGTGCTGTGTATCGGGTGTTGATGGATGTGGGCCACGTGGGATTTGTCAATTTTGCTCGTTCAGAGGCCTGCGATTGGCTGGTAAACACGTTTCTTCGTCAACGCCAGACCAAATCCGTCTGGCCGATCCGTCAATTTCGTTCACTCCAGTTCGTCTCCGTCTGCTTTCCTCATCCATTCCTTATGATACTCGTGCTGGTCAAGTTCTTTCCATGGCTACCACTTTCTTATAAAGCAGGCCTTTATCACCAACGGGCCTTCGATTCTGGTCTTGCGATAGTAATAACATTAGCAGCGTTTCATGTTCGTTCAGTTCCCACGGTTTGCAAACCTCTCTAGGCGTCGCTGTTCCGCCTGATTCGCGCCTGGTCGGAATCCAAGATTCAGTTGCACGTCACAATTTTTTCTTACACTAGAATATTAAGTTGATAACGGATAGAAACGTTTTGCGAAACTTCCACGATGCGGGTTGACGTCATCATCGCCGCTTCTCTCTCAGCCGCTCTCACCTTCTTCCTCTCCCGTCGCCTCGCTCCATCCAAACCTGACTCAAAATCATCAAAAGCCGTCAACGCCGCTGTTGACGATGACGGAATTGACAGAACGCCGCCAGCCGAGCCCATCGCGTCCTTCTCATCGCCCGATATTGTCAACGTGAAATCTCTGCCACGTGTACGGTCGGAGATGGAGGTGGAGGACGAGCAGGACTATCAGTTCCTCACGGTCGCGGCGGAGGAGGCGGAGGCGGGCGCGCTGGAGAAGGACGGCGGGCCGTTCGGCGCGGTGATCGTGCGCAACGGGGAGATCGTGGCGCGCGCGCACAACGAGGTGCTGAAACACAAGGACCCCACGTGCCACGCCGAAATCATCGCCATCCAGAAGGTGCGCGACGAGCTGACCGCTTTTTTCCGACAAGGTGACTGTGGTTGAGTCGACTTCTCAAACACAAGGGCCCCACGTGCCATGCGGAGATCATCGCCATTTGGAAGGTAAGGTAGCTGTTTTGAAGATCCGTCAGAAACAATCTCATGTACAATACCTGCATGTAACACACCGAAAATGGAAACGTCTCAGGAATGAAGCTCAAAGCACAAAGACTCCACGTGCCATGCCAGACTTGGTTTTCTAAAGTCCGTCCATCTTGCATCACACTCCTGTTCCCTTTCCTCCTCCTTGCACTACTTACCCTCATAAACCACTCTACACCGCTCCAAATGCCCTCCCCTCCACCCTCCGCTCTCCATTGCCGTGGCGTCCAGGCGTGCAAGGCGCTGGGGAAGATAGAGCTGTCGGACTGTGTCATCTACTCCTCCTGCGAGCCATGCCCCATGTCCTTCGCCGCCATGTACCTCGCCCGCCTCCCGGTCAGTCACCCTCTCCTGCTTCCTGTACCAATGCTCCCTGTCTCCAATGCCCCCCACTGCTTGCTTTGCTCCCAATGCCCCATGTCCTTCGCCGCCATGTACGTCGCCTGCCTCCCGGAGAGTGAGAACTGGCTTCCATACCCTCATGCCACCTCCATACCCTCGGTGCCCCACGCCCTCGTTCACATGCCCCATGTCCCTCATACCCTCAATGCCCCATGCCATCAAGGTGCGACCTCACCGAAGCTCACCTCTCTCTTTTTGCTCAAGGGTATGGAGCACGGTATCTAGCTTAGCTTAGGCCAAGGCAGCGCATGGCCTGGACCCAAAGCATCGCAGCACAGCACAGGTCTCTGCAGACATTTCCCATTCCACTCCACCCTTTTTCCCCCATGTCCCTTCACCCCGCGGCTGGTGTGCGGAGACCAGGCAGAGACACCAAACAATATGGGGCACCACGACCCTCTCTCCGTCACACCCCATCTGGGTGACAGCATGTGACTGTCAACCTCTCTCATTGTACTTCACCCTCCGTCCCTCCCTTCCTTCCCCCACCAGCGGCTGGTGTACGGGGCACAGGCAGAGGCGGCACACGACTTGGGGTACGACCCGTCACACGTGGCAGACGCTATAAGAGGCACGGCCACATTTCAGAAGAGCAGCTGCCGTGTCAAGCGCATCGTTCACCCCGAGGTGGCTCGCGTGTTCTGGAAGCACCGCAGCACTGTGCAGATCTACTAGGGAGCTTCTTTCTACAGTGCATGCTTACTAGAAGCTCTTGGTGATTCTACAGTACAGACAAATCTAGCAGAAAGCTCCAATTTATCCACAGTGTATTGTAAATCTACCGTATCAGTTAATCCCCTCTATATAGCAGTAGGCGTAGCAAAATAGCAATACAGATTGGGGGGAAAGGGGGGCAGCGGCCAGGGCTCACATTATCAGAAATTTTTGGTCTGAATTTCTGGATTCTGGACACATTTTTACTGGTTCATCTGATGCCGTAGACATGCTGTTTAATTTCGTCTGATTTTTTTAGAGAAGCTTTTTCTATTCATCTGATTTCTCAGACAGCCTTATACAGTTCGTCTGAGATTGCAAATATCGAGTCTTTTTCGACTGAAGGCAAAAATCTCGAAAAAAGTAGACTGCAAGATACGATCTGGAAACCTAAGTTCTCACTGCTCGACACTCTACTACATAAACCACTAGGGCTTATTAATTTTAAAAAGACAATTGTTTGCTATTTTAATATCTTCTCAAACAAGTATTTAGGATTTGTCTGAAAAGCTAGACAAGGTTACAGTTTTCGTCTGACAATCAGACAAGGAGCCAGGACCCGTTCTTGACATCAGACGGGTCATTTTACTAAAGTTAACCCTGGCAGCGGCATGCTTTGGAAAACTTAAGGCGATGATGGTCTCTGTACCTATCTGTGTCAGTATGTTCTTTGTAAGCCATCCTTGCATGATGTTTTATACGCAGCATGAGGTACGACAAAACCAGCCAACCCGAGGTCAGCATGGTAATATATCAAGTTATGTAGGTTTGAACTGTTCGGCTGAAAAGGCCCTTAAGATCTTTGCAGGGCTGAACTTTGGGTAGAGTTGGTGTAGTAGCGGAAGCGTTAATAAAGAGTTGTGAACCACCTTGCGCTAGTATGTGAGGGCAGAGTAAGTTGATTAAAACAAAGAGATACAAGATTATATAAGGGTACATTCTACTGTGGACACTGTCCGATCGATGTGTCCCAATCGAGTGTACCGCTCCGAACCGAACTAAACCGGAGACGCTAAAATTTTCGAAACTAGGGTGCAATTCGGTGTAATACGATGCAGTGCGGTAGAAACGATTGAGACACTTTCGATTGGGACATGTCCAGCGCGGAATGTACCCTAAGAGTACAAGGAATATGAAAGGATACGATTATAATGTTTTACTTGTTGCTGTTGCGATTCGATACAGTGACGACTCGGGCAACTGCTCTGTAGCGAGTCAGTTGTGTGTCCTTGCTGTCTCGCTGTACTTGTCAAGTCAAAGGTCGCTGACCTTTGACTTCGCGTAACCTCAGCGGTTACTTCAACCTCCGAGGGTTGACTCGCTAGTGCCTCGATATGCTTTGCTTCGCTTGTGCCTTAGTGTTTCGACACGACAGAGGTGCTTAGGACCGATTGTTTCCAACACTCCCCTTCGCTTCTGGAGTATCGCTGACGTGGCTCTGTCCAGTCAGCAGCATGCAGTATTCAAACTTATGCTTTCCGAGCTTCTTGGTCAGGTAGTCAGCTTGCCATCTCGGACGTGGGGCAGTATGACAGCTCGAGCCTTCCCTTCCCGATCTCGTCGTTCACGAAAAAATATCGCAAGGCGATGTGTTTCGTCCTGTCGCGAAGCCGTTCTTGTTGGCGATGCAAATTGCCGATTGGTTGTCGCAGAATAGGGTAAAGTTGGGTAACTCCGGCTAACTTCGCTTCTTCCAGCAGCTCGCGAAGATAGAGTCCTTCCTGGTGGCTGAGCACAGTGCAATATATTCTGCTTCAGCTGACGAGAAGAGCAATAATTCCTGCTTGCTCGATTGCCAGGAGATAGGTCCGATAGGCTCGAAAGCTAGTAGATGTAGCCGGTGCGCGATCGTCTGTTGTCGGAGTCGCCCGTGTGATCTGCGTCGACGTAACCGATTAGCTTAGGCGTTGTAGTTGCGTTCTTATGGTAAGTCGGGGCCGACCGGCGGGGTACTGACAAGGTTGTGAAAGAGCGCGGTCGAGCTCCGCCAGATGTTCGCCTCAGGCTTCTTGAGGTGGGTGGCGAGCTGGCTTGCAGAGTAGGATAGATCTGGGCTGGTGACAGCTACGAAGAGAAGGCAGCCCAGCTTTCTCTGGTAGTCGCGTATGCCGACGGGCTTGAGTAGAGCGGAGCCTTCCTTGATGTTTGCTGTCGTGTAGCGGTACGGTGTGGAGATGACAGTCGGTGTGTGTGCGAAACGCTTGGCGATGGTGTCGGGGTATTTTGCGGCGCTGAGGTAGATAGCGTCTTCCTCTTCCGGATGTTGAGGTCGAGGTACTGTGTGATGGTAGATGAGACCGTGAGTGTGAGGTCTTGCTGAATCTCCCCTTCAAACCAGGTTGTAATGCCGTCAGTTGAGCCGATGTAGAGCAGATCGTCCACATAGACAATTAGCAGGATGTAGTCGGTATCACTTCGTGAGCCGGTACAATGCCCTGGTCGTGCGGCATTGCTTGAAGCCGATGCGAATGAGGCGAGCGTGTGGGTTATTGTTGCCATAGTCGCGGAGCTTGCTTGATGCCATAGAGCGACTTGAGTAGTAGACAGACGTGGTTCGAGTCCCGGGCTGGAGCCGTGTGGTAGTTCGACGAAGATCTCTGCGTCAACAGGTGCGTCGAGGAATGCGTTAGCGACGTCGATTTGCCGCAGCTTCTTCTTCTTCATGGCGGCGATCGCGAGAAGGATGCGTAGCGAGGTGTGTCGGCTGACCGGAGTGAATGTTTCGGTGAAATCGCGTCTGTGCTCTTAGTTCGAAGCCGCGTACGACCCAGCGTGCCCTTAAATTTGTCGATGGTACCGTCAGCCTTTGTCTTCACACGGAAGACCCACTTCCCGGTGAGCACTGTCTTGTTCCGTGCCACGCCGATAGGAACCGATTTCCACGTGTTGCGTTCCTCCAGTGCCTTCACTTCCTTGTCCATGGCTTCGCGCCATTTTTCCTTATGTTCCCCCCCAGAGCCTGTTGAACCGTCGCAGGCTCTTTAGGAGTGGCGGTGCCGTGGACTGCGATAACGAGTCCGAGAATCTGCATTCCACTCTGTGAGTAGCGGGGAAGATTTACGTCCTCGGGATAAGCTGCTTCATCTCCCGCCTCTGGATCAGGTATGAAGTTCGGTCCTACTCGTTCTGCTTCGTTGGTGTTGACTGTCGCACGTGTTACGTACCGTTGTCGGTGAAATGGTAGAAGGTTCGGCGTTGGCACTTTTGCGAGGGTTGTCTTCGTCCATAGGAACGTCGACGGAGCGGAACGGAAGAGGTCCGGCTTCTTCTGATTGCGCTGTCCACATTCTGCTTGTCCCAGTCAGCTTCGTCCGCTGCTGAGGGCGAAGGCTCGGTCACACACAAAAACCACCTGTGGGATCCGGGTCTTCGTGCAGGTTGGCAAGGTATGTCTGAAGCGTGAGTCGTTCGTAGAAAATTACATCACGTGCTGCTACTGTTTCCTTGGAGTGGACGTCGAAGATTTTTCACGCGTTGTAGTTCTTTTCGATTCCCAAGTGTAGTCCCCACTGTGCTCGTTGAGAAAATCGGCCCGCTCGTGCTGCTAGGGGGTCGGTACTGTACCATGCATCCGAATACTCGTAACAGTTTTGTGCTGCCCTATTTCCCTGTCCATAGCAGATGCGGTGATGCGTTGTTCGGAAGCGATGATGAGGACAGCAAGAGTGCAGCATGACGGCGTGGTCCATTGTTGCAGGCACTGGTGGTTGGGTAGCCGCATGCCACGTAACAGTTTGCGCATGGTGTTCTGCAAGGTCCTGTTCATTCTTTCTGCTACCACCCTGCTGCTGATGGGCGTAGGGAAGGGAGATGAGTCGCTTGATTCCCTTTTCCGCCAGGTACTGCTTGAATCGCTGAGAGGTGTATTCTCCCTCCTCCGTCTGAATGGAAGCTTTTCAGCTTCACGCCCGATTCTCTCTCTACTATTGGTAGCCAGGCAACGAAGGCTGCGAATGCCATGTCGCGGCTAGGGAGGTTTAGGTGCCAGACGTAACGAGTGGCGGCGTCGATGAAGGTGATTGTATAGTTGTATGTTACTTGTCCTGGTTCCCGATTGGAACAGGATGTCGCTATACACCTTCTCGAGTGGTGCGTATGCGGGTGAGCTTGGGTTGTGATGAGACGCAAACAGCCGATGTGGTAAGTCACCTTCAGGGCAGGTGAGGCACGTTTCCGCGTACTCGTTGAAGTTCTCGTCCGGCGGTTAGTAGAAGTGAGTCCTTTTCAAGTACTCCTGCTCTTATCGTATTGTTTAATACTGTGTTGCTTGGGTGTCCCATCCTTGCGTGCCAGGTGCTTTCGTCGGTGCGATGTCCGGGTGATCGTCTGTACATATCGGAGTTGGAGTAGAAGTTGGCGTGAAGTTGGCGCTAGCGATGAAGTTCTCTTGGTGCTGGGTGTAGTTGTGGCGCTGGTGTCGGTGGTGTGTCATCGATGAGGAGCGGTTGTCGTTGAAGGAACCAGCAATTGGTGTGACGTTCCTGATGCTGCCGTTTGATGGTTCTGGAACTGCCGATGCTGTCTCTGCTGCTGCCGATGTTGTCTCTGTTGCTGCCGATGTTGTCTCTGTTGCTGCCGGATGTTGTCTCTGTTGACCTTGTTCTTCTGCTCAGGGATGGTGGGTGTGAGTATACCAGAAGCCTTTTGGACTGAAGTCTGGATCAAGGTCTGGAGGGTGTGTCCAGTCGTGAGAGTTAACGATGGCGTCGCTGTCGGTGGTGCCAAGGTCAGGAACGAAGTCAAGACGAAGACGTTGTTCTTGAGGACCGCCTTGCCGTGTAGAGTCCTCCTCTCCTGTGATACAGCTTGAAGTCTTGGGTGGTGCTGTCTGCTTCGAGGTGATCCCCTTCGCCATTAGATGACTGACGCTTAGATAAGTTGTAGCCGAGTCACTCCGCGATTAGTACTTTTGATATCTGCAGTACAACTTTGCTTTCCCTTGACTGAAGTTGAACTACACCTTGTCGTTGTGTTTGCAGGTTCTGATTGTTGGCGACTGTAATGACAACTTCGCATTGAAGTTGGTGTTCTCTTTGAACGAAGCGTCCGAGGATGCACATGTGCCTGTCCGCAGGAACTGTCCAAGACCATGTGTCCCTTCCGGATGGTTCGCTTTGGGCGATTGCGGCGTATGTCGGGTTCGGCTGAAGTGACTCGCAGGACGGGGTGTGGTTTCGTCGAGTTGCTCTTCCGGTGAGTAGTGTGGTGGTGACTCGGTGATGCATGATTCACTCAGCTTTGCCATGCAGTTGACGATGTTTCTTGCTCCTTGTGCAGGTTGTCCCTAGTGAGGTCGTTGAAGCTTGAATCTGAGTCGTGGATTTGCTTGCGTTGAAGCAATTTGGCTGCTTGAAGGTCGAAGTTGCCGCTGTGGAGTTGTTGACAGTTGACGATTCAGGCAGTGCATGCGCGGTGACCTGAAGTTTTGCAGATGTGGCAGAACGGAGGTACTAGCTTCGGTTGTTGCTGCCGGTTGTTGTTGTTGTTGTAGCGTTGCTGAGTGTGGAACGCGAATTCCGGTGCTGATGTTTTCTTTTTGTGTCGTTCTTCTTGCAGGTCCATGTCTTGCTGCTCGGCGTGGATTTCGGCGCAGAGCGCTGCTTCGGAGATTCTTCCGTGAGCTCGGAGAATGGCCTTTGTGGCGCGCCACTGAGGACCGAGGCCGCCGATGATGACTGTCACGAAGGCATCTTCAGAAATTGACCCTTCGCATCGAAGAAGCTTGTCGCGCAACCCGCGGCATCGACTGATATACGCCATTCCTTTCTCCCCTGGTTTCATTTCAACCGTTGTCAGTTGCGCCATTAACCGACTTTGACTTACGCTGTCTGTTGCTTGATACAGGCTCTTCAGGTGGTTGTAGGCGAGCTCTGCGGAGTTGCCGTAACCTCGGTTAGTCCTTATGTTCTGCTGTTGAGTCGGGGTGATGTTCCTCAGTAGGATCGTGTACGCCATCATTGACTGATAGGTGTACCGCTGCTTCTCGTATTGTGTGCCGTTTGTTGGGTATGGAAGAGACCCGTCGAAGAACCCGAGTATCTGCGCGCCTTCCATCATCAGCTCGAACTCAAACGACCAGGTGAAGAATTCCTTTCCATCAAAGGGTCTTGACGTCTGCATCTTCAGAATGTGTGCGAACTGCGACTGAACTTGTAATGCGTCCAGTGGTTTTTTTGTGTCCAGGTGAGGGGTGAGGGTGTGGCATGAAGCTGATGGACCTGCGCTCGTACGGAGCAAAGATGGGCTGCTGTTGCTGATTTCCTCGTGCATATGATGAGCCGTCGAGACTCATGGGTGTTGCAGCGTTGTTGTTGCTGTTGTGTGACTGCGCTGGTGCCGATTGCTGGTGTTGCTCGTAGAAGGACATGAAGGAGAAGAACTTCTCCCATCATGCTCTAGTCGAAGTCTGCAGGTTGATTTGCGGGAGTCTCGGGTAGTGTTGCTCTGGGTCTTGTTGCCGTGCCCTCCTCTGTCTGTAGGCCAAAGGCAGAAGGTGGAGTAGGAGTAGTGCCCTGGGAGCCGTTGGAGTTGCTCCTTTCCTTTTGTGTAGCCATGGTGATTGATGTTGTCGGTATAGTAGTTGAATTCCCCTTGATTGTTCTCATACCATGTTGGGCTGAAAAGGCCCTTAGGATCTTTGTAGGGGTGAACTCTGAGTAGAGTTGGTTTAGTAGCGGAAGCGTTAATAAAGAGTTGTGAACCACCTTGCCCTAGTATGTGAGGGCAAAGTAAGTTGATTAAAACAAAGAGATACAAGATTATATAAGAGTACAAGGAATATGAAAGGATAGGGTTATAACTGTTTTACTTGTTGCTGTTGCGATTCGATACAGTGACGACTCGGGCAACTGCTCTGTAGCGAGTCAGTTGTGTGTCCTTGCTGTCGCGCTGTACTTGTCAGGTGAAAGGTCGCTGACCTTTGACTTTCGCGTAACCTCCAGCGGTTACTTCAACCTCCGAGGGTTGACTCGCTGGTGCCTCGATATGCTTTGCTTCGCTTATGCCTTAGTGTTTCGACACGACATATTCGCTTAGGACCGATTGTTTCCAACATGAACTAGTGTTGGCGAAACCTTGAGAACAAGAATTTCGGCAAAGTCAGTGTAGCGAGAAGGAGATGGGTTGACGAGAGGGAAGGGTACTCGCCAAACGTGAAGTGATGGTGAACGATACTGTGCAGGGCGACTGGAAAGAGTGTCGCACGGGCTGGTTTTCAGCCAATCAGGTTCAAGTACACTAAGTCCTCGCTAACTTCACTAGGGCCAATTTCACCCCCCTGTGCAGTCATTTTACATTCAGCCCAATTTAAGGGTTGCTTCAAACAATTTGGCTTAAGGAAACCAAAGACCTGGACTGCGCACGTGAGTCAGCGGAAAAACATAAGAAACATGGTCGCAGCGCAAGATTCAGTCTTTGCGTTGCAATCTCAACGTCAGAAGGGCAAACATCGAAACGTCACAATGCCTCGGATAGCCTCTAGTTCGTGGTTGTCTTACCCCTATAGCCAAATAAGGTCAGTTTGAATTTAAGAAGAACTGACGGGGCGTGAAATTGGCGAGGACTGTGTGTACTGGAGAATACCCATGCACAATGCAACTACTAGCAAAATCGAAAATGGGAAGCAAAAACCACCTCAGAACGAGTAAGAAGAAAAAACGCCACGATCAACCAAGCTAGGTCTACGGTTTCAGGCGCCAATGGTCGTCTAGCAGCGCATCAACCCGCAAACTTCCTGCGCGCGCACTGGTCTGGTCGACGAGCAGCGCCCGTCTGACTTGAGCAGAGCGCGCTAGGCTTAGAGGACGACGAGCAGCGCGCGCCCCAGTCTGGTCGACGAGCAGCGCGCTTTTGGCTTGAAGAACGACGATCGGGTCCCCTCCCCTCGCCGCGCCTCCTGTCCCATCGTCACGCCTCCCCTAGTTTCCTGGGAGCCTCCCCTCGTCGCGCCTCCGCTCGCCTCCCCGAGCCTCCGCTCGCCTCACCACGCCTCCGCTCGCCTCGCCGCGCCGCATCTCGGCTCACCTCCCCGCGCCTCCGCTCGCCTCGCCGCACCTCCCCTGCCATCAGCGCGCCAGCACCCTCGTCTCGGTGCCCCTCCTCGCGCCTCCAATCCCGCTGCCCTTCTCCCACCTGCCCATCCCTTGCCCTCGCTTCCCTGCCCTTCCATTCCCTCGTGTTACCTTCCCCTTTATTTTTCCCGTCTGCTTCCCCTCATTCCCCCCCCTCCTTCCCCTCATTACCCTCCTTTTTCCCCTCACTTACCCCGCTGCCTCCCCTCGTTTCCCCCTCTACTCTCATCGTTTCCCCCCCTTGTTCTACTCATTCCCCCCCCTCCTTCCCCTAATTTCCCTCCCAGCTTCCCCTCATCTCTCCCCTGCTCCCCCTCATATCCCCCCTTGCTTCCCCTCATATCCCCCCCTGCTTCCCCTCATATCCCCCCCTGCTTCCCCTCATATCCCCCCCCTGCTTCCCCTCATATCCCCCCCTGCTTCCCCTCATATCCCCCTTCGCTTCCCCTCATTTCCCCCCCTGCTTCCCCTCATTTCCCCCCCGGCTTCCCCTCACCCCCCCCTCCCGGTTCCCCTCATTTCCCCCGCTGTGGCCCCTCATTTCCCTCCCTGCTACTCCTCTTTTCCCCCCCTGCTTCCCCTCATTCCCCCCCCTGCTTCCCCTCATTTCCCCCCCTGCTTTCCCTCTTTTCCCTCCCTACTTCCCCTCATTTCCCTCCGTGCTTCCCCTCATTTCCCCCTGCTTCCACTAATATCCACTCCTCCTTCCCCTCGTTTCCCCCTCTTCTTCCCCTCGTTTCATCTTCCTATCTCTCGCTTTCCCTCTCTCTCCTCTTCCCTATCCTCCATCTTCCTAATGTCCTTCGTTCCCTCTCACCCTCTTCCTATCTCCTCCTTTCCCTCACCCCCGCTCTTCCTATCCCCTTTCCCTCTCATCTCACATCGTCCTATCTCCCCCTTTCCCGTCCCCCCCTGCTTCCCTCTTCCCTATCTCCCATATCTCCCCTGTTTGACTTTTCTCTTGTTCCCCCTCCCCATCCCTCGTATTCCCTCCCTCTCCCTGGCTATTGCAGTGACTACACTGAATTGTCTTCACTTAGGGTACATTCGTGCGGGGACACTTGTGTCTCAATCCCCGTTTTCCGAGTCGCGCCTGTAAATTTGCCAAATGTTGTGTCACAAACAACCAATGTATCGCGACCTCGCGAGCGATGGCACAGCCAGGTGGGTGCGTACTATTGGTTGCGACCAATAGGATTGTGGCCCACCCCGTTTTCCCCGCCGAGCAGGGGGGCTAAACATATCGCACCACCTCGAGTATCGCGGTGGGCTTGCCACAGAAATGGAAG